ATATATTTTATTGTGTAAAATATAATAGAAAACTTAACAAAGATGGTGGAAAAACTAGAATGACACATAATATATATAGCACTTTTTAAGAGTATGGCGATCAACAAAAGCAATCATATATAGAGTTAAAGAAAAGTTGAGCTCGTGATGGGTTTAAGGTTTTCTGGCCCCATCTCTCGCTCTTCTTGGGTAAATTTTCTTTCATAATCCTCTTTAGTTTTTCTTATGTTTCCCTTCCTATGGTTGTGAATCAGTTAAAGGGCCCTGGATTCTTGGATGATAAAGTTAAATCTAGGCCTTTTAGAGATGTTTTATCGGTGAGTCGGCCTCACCAGAGTTTCCCCCACTCAAAGTTTCTTCACACCATGGTTTGCCGGCTTTTATTATCGCTGATGAGGAAATGTCGTCTTTTGCTTTGCCTTTCGAGTTTGCTTTAATCGAAAAGTTTTCGGCCTGACATCCACCGCTTGATTTGATTCAAAAATTTTTCTTTAGCTTAAAGCTTTTTGGGGATTTTTTTGGTTATTTTACTGAATCCAAAAAATGTGTTGATTAAGCTTGTCAAAGACTTAGATTACTGTAGGGTTTTCTCTTATAGTTCCTACTTCATGAGCGGATAATGCGACTGTTAATGGCTCGAGACCCTCTGTGGCACGCATATTAGTGGAATTAGATGTTACAAAATATTATGCTTCTCAAGTTTGGCTTGGGACGAAGACTTTTGATTATATTCAATCGGTTGAAATGAAAGAATTTTGTTTGTATTGATTTTATTGTAAGTCGTTGCGCCTTCTGTTAAATAGACAATCACTATTGAAGTTTTTCCACAGGATCCTGTGGGTTATAATCTTAACCCAGGCATTGGTTATGGTGGGGAGAATGTAGGTGAATTGGTAGAAAATCAAGTCTTTGTTGGTGATCAAGAGAAAAATTATGTTGTCCCTCCTTTGATTTGCAATGGGGTCCATGGGAACTTGATTGATTCTTCTCAGGCTCATTGTGATGTTGTTTTTCTTAGTTCTGGTGGTTTTGTTTTGCCGCATATTAATAATCTGAAGACGTTGGATATGCCGTTAATTGACTCTATTGATGTCGAGCGTGGAGGTGCATTAGCTGTGTCGGATGTGGAAATGCAGAGGAATGTTGTGCTTGCAAGCAATGAAACTGAAATTGGCAATTCTCTGGTTGATGGTGTGGGTTCGCCTATCATTTTGGAGGAATCTATGCCCTCTCTTGTTGGGGTGGATTTGCCTCTGGTTGGTGGGCCTATGGGATTCCTTGCCGATGTGCCTTTAGTGGTTATGTACCCTAAAGGCATGCTTGCTCAATTTGTTTCTTCTTCAAGTGTCACTTGTTCCGTCCTTTCGGATCAGGATGCTTTCTCCCCTTCGATCCCCATCTTGTGTGGATGGTGATGATTTTAGTGATGGACAATCGCTTCAGGATTTATAAGATTTAAAAGTTTGTCAAGTTGTTGATAAAGTTCTTTCGCGTGCCACTAAATGTCGGAGGAGAAAATCAAGGAAGTAACTCTTGTTGTTATGGTGTGTGATGTCTTTTCTGCATTGCTAGTGGTGTTTGCTATTGTTTGTGACCTTGGTGAGATGTGGGTTTATCTGGTGGTTGACTGTTTGGCTTATCCTGTGGCTCGGGTCTTCTTCTCAGTCTGTTTGGTAATTTTGGGGAGGTCTTTCTCTCCTTGTCTTGGTTTTTTTGTTCTTATTTTGTGCAGGTTGTTTCTCATTCTGCCCTCTCGTGCCGAGCTACTTAGGAGCTTGTCGTGGTCGATTGCTGGGGTACTGTTGCTTTTGGGGCGTTGGAGTTTGATTAGTTTCCCTGTTGTTGTTTTATATTTGAATGATTTTTTATCCTTGTATTAGTTGGATCTAAAGCTCGTAGGTTTTTATTCAAGTGATGTATTTTTAGTGAGCTTACGTTTGTTTTAGGACCTATAATTTAAAGAGTTAATGGACCATTTTGCGCGCTCTCTCACAAAAAGTGGAGAGAACATTAATATAAAAATGATAACATACGTAAAATTACTGAGTAAGTGTACATATATTATTTCTTGTTTTATTTTAACACATAATATACTCTCACTAAGCAAAATCACAGCTACATGCATATCATATCTGAAACTTTAACTCTTAAAACAACTGAGCGAAAACCATCTCATTTAAAAAATAATAACTTAATCGAACTATAGCTAGTACGCACTTCTATTGATTATAAGTACAGTTCACTGCTACCTAAAAGGTCGCTAAAATATTTAACGTTCATTTATTTAAAAGGAAGAAAAGATTCTTCATAACTGTAAAGAAAGCAATAAAGATTGAAATCACAGCAGCTGCTTCCTCATGCAGGTCTCCTTCCATGCAAGCAAAACTCCTTTTGATGCGTTTCAGTCAAAGCACTTCGCTTATTTTAGTACAGATCAATTCATGTCCAGTTATCGATACAGGCTTCCGAAGCTCAGCCAAGTTCCTATGTAGTCCTTTTGCTTGTTCCTTCCCATATTCCAATGGCTTACAACAAATAGAGATGGAAACTTTGCCTCATTATGCATATAGGAGAACTGACAGATCTTACTGGTTTAATATTTTTATATACTTTATCTGTTGATTAGTCCCGACATGACAAAAGAATGTGTTGCTGGCTTGTTTTAAGCATTTGAAGATGAAAATAATAAACCTAGCATATTTGGACCGATCTCCTGTCAAATTATTAAGAAGATTTAGGCTTCTTTTGGGGCGGCTTTCTTCCTGCCTTTTAAAGCGATTTTTAGTACAAAATTTTTTTGGAATTTGGAAGCAAGAAGAAATGTGTCTCAAACGAAGCCTTAGCGTATTTGGAATAGCTTTCTAACTATTTTGCATTTCTGACAGAAATCGTAATTTTATTTGACTATTACTTTTTTCATTGATTTTAAGAAGCTTATGAGATAAAAGTTTGATATTGACAATCATAGAAGTCAAATTATTTCCCCCATAATAATTGCACGATCAACTTCATAAAATGATGCACCCAGTCTAAATAGACCCTAATCTTAAACATATTTGAATTCATGGAAATGAGAATACGAGATTTTCGCCCTTCAAATATTCTCTCTTTTTTTTTTTTTGCTGAAGTAATCAGTTATATAGACAGAAAAATGATCAGATTAGATTTTTTGTAATTAACATAAAAAAAATTATTTTGAAAAGATGTCTACAGAAAAGAGTTTTAATAACAATATAAATGATTGTTATTGTCAGTAATTTTAATAAACACGTATTTGTAATTAATTGATCTAATCTTATAGTTGTTACATTACACAAATTAGTAAAGAAGTGTGAATAAAAGATCAGAATTTTTTTTTTTAGAACGGGTATGTACCCGTTACCACTCCTGTAGGGGAGGCATTTGACGGAGTAACTAGTTCATCGAAAAACCTAGCGGCAAACAACAGACCTAGCAGCAACCAGCCACACAGGTGCTAGACCACGTACTTATTTTCTCCCCACTTAAGCAGTTGCACCCGCTTGAGAGGGGAATTGAACATAAGTTGAGAGTTCCCAACCACGCTCGCCCACCAACTCACCTAACCCGTTTTCTAACTATTAGATGTAATATGAAATGATAGCTCAATTATAGTAGCTATGTAAACTATAGTAATAAACATCAAAGTAACGCAAGCACAAAATAAAATCTGAAAAAGAATTTATGCAATGCGAGAGCAATTAAAATCTACACCACACAGGTGCAGGAGAGTTTATAAAACATTCATCACAGTATTATTTAAGTTCAAGCAGTTAAGTAAATGCACCATTAAGGCGAGTATAAAGCTATAAAAGAAAATTTTAGACAAAATAAGAATGTTTACATGGTTCAATAGCCAACTTAATTCACGTCTAATCTTCAGTCGAATTAGGATGTCACTTCATCAAATTTGCAATTACAATTCCCTCCCTACTCCTTGAGAAGGTGGAGAAATCTTTACACGATCTTCGCTAAAGAGAGAGTGGTTCCTGCTTGATCTAACAAGTGCACCCAAGCTTTACACATCAAACTACACCAAACTCCACTTGGCACAAAATCATAAGATTTACAATAAAATTGTCAAAACAAAATTCTCTTGAGAAAAATTCTCATAGAATTTTAAGGCCAAATACAGTAGAATGGAAAAAAAAAGACACGAGTTAAATTATTGGGGAGAGATGAGTAAACACCACAATGACAAAACAAGGAAGAAAGTAAAAGCAGCGGAAAAGTAAAGGATACCAGGATTTAACATGGAAAAGCCCAAAATAAGGAAAAAATCATAGAGCCACACCACACCAAAAAATCTACTATAAAAATTGGAAGAAATAAGTGCATATCTCTCTTTTCTATCGCACTCTCCTTGTTTCTTTTCTCACATGCACCGTTTTCAATATCTACACTCTAAAAATATAAGAGAAAGCCAAGTAAAATAACCCCAAGGGATGGAACCTTAGAAAACTAGAAAAAACTGTCTAGTCCGTCTCGCAGTGTTCCAGCACTAGTTTAAAGCACTGCGGCGCTTTAACCTCTGTCTTGATCCATTGCAGCACTATATCTATACCGCTGTGGCGCTCTACTTTCTGTTGTTCAGCACCGGGGCACTCGGGAACAACGTCGGGGTGCTCAGGTACACAACGCTGGGGCATTGTACGGGGAAAAAAAAATTCGGGTGCAAAGCGCCTGAACCCAAGGTAAACCCCCCGCAGCCCCAGCAGACATGACAAGTTTTGAGGTCCGGGACAACATAATAACCAGATTGATCAACATAATCATATTCCACACAGGACATAAACTTTTTCCCAAAAAATCAGACATTTAGGTGATCAAATGAACCATATATAACACAATTAAATATCTAGAAGTAGTAAAGCAGGCCAAAAAACTTTCCTTCTGCGGATAGCGTAAAAACTAGAAAACCCTTCCAGCTTTTATGCTAAAACAAACTCAAAGAAGGCCACTAAGAGGAAAAGAATGGCATATTAAAAGAGACATGCATCAGATTTCCCAATTATGCAAAGTTTTTTCCAATTTCAATTATTGCAACAAACAAGAATTCTTATTATAAGGAATATCAATTATATCAATGATCATGTCTTACGATCCCCGCTTTCTCCCTCTTCCTTTCTCTCTCTCCAGTAACACAAACCAGCTCTTTTGCTACACAAGAAATGCACGCAAAATGCATAAATTCTGAATAAAGAATTATAATATATAATTACTACACTCTCCTCTCATCACAACAGAATACTTTCTGGTAACTTTCAGATGAAACCAGAGTGCAAGTTTGATGAGTGAAGGGGCATACCAAAGCCATAGGGTTGTGGGCTTCCTGTAGCATACGAATTTCCAAATGGATTGTTGCTCTGTGGGTGGAGCTGTTGCTGACCCATCATCATCATCTGTTGCTGCTGCAGCATTAATGCCTGCTGCTGAGCCATGGCTGCCATTTGGATTGAATGAGGTGCAGCAATGGCATTGGATACATAGAATGGATCATGCGACAATGCTGGTTGTTGCATGGAGCCAGCCATCGGTGCCGGCTCCCATGGATTGTAAGTGGTTGGCTGGTTTGCTCGTCGGATTGCATCATCGTATAAGCTGTCCAATGTAAGTTTGTCCAATCCTCCAGCCTGCAGACACATTGGGCAAATGTAATCATCTTAGAGATTGGACAAATATTATCAGAGTAGAAATCTGAGGTTGATATCTACCAATTTGCTTGCTGCAGCAACAGAATCATTTGAGCTTGGAGCAGTGACAAGTGCCAGCTCCCAACCCGCGGTTCCGTTCTCCGATGCAAAACTAACTTGTGAAGCAGTTGTTGATGGATCATCTGACAAAATTTTTTGCAAAGAGTACAATAATTAAACAGGAAGATGTTAGGTTAGCTAGCTTCTAAAGATGGGAGTAGAATGAAGTTTACCAACTGGAACAATGGCGAGGGCCAAAGCATTTTTAGCATCTAACTCAGAAGCAGCAGGGTTGGTATCATGCAAACCCTGCAAGCACAAGTGGAGAATGTCAAGTTGGTGAAACAGGTGTATAATATTTTATGAACGTGCATTTCTGAACTGAACAATACCAGCAGATCAGGTTCCTTAGATGCTACAGGAAGAGCTTCCACCTTTACTGGTTCAGGAGGTGGTGGAGATAGTGGAGGTGCCTCCGGCTCTTCTGACGTTTTCTTTTCTTCAATGGCCAAAATGACCTTTGGAGATGCTTTTTCATCCTTCACCTGAAAGATTTTTCGGGACATTTTCCATCAAAATAAATGACATATCCTCAAAAACATGCATGTCATCAAATATTTAATATTCTACAGTATCTGGCCTACCATAAACCAGAAACTTGATAGTCCATGATTATCTTGAAAGTACCTTTAGCCACAAGTACAAAATTTCAATTTATTAAGCAGAAAACAGATGATTTAAATTTAGACAAAACAGTAATCTTTTATTGATAATTAATTTGTATCAGGTATCAGTAGTAAATGACTGATTATGAATGATCAATTTTACATTCACCTCCCACTCAAGTGGCATGCTAGAACTGCACAAGTGCCGCATTTGAGAAGCCAATGCTTTTTTTTTTTTTTTGGGACAGTTCAATTAAGGCAGATTCACACACACATCGCATACATAAGACTCGAACTCAAAATCTCTTAGTTGATAGACTAATCTCCCAACGAACATGTCAAGGTGAGTTGTGTATCAGGTACTTCTTGCAGCTAATAATACTATGAGCTAAACATTTTGTGAATCATTTACATCATATTAGCGTTTTCAACAACCCGAAAAAGAACTAGCAAGTGATGGAAGCCTATTCAAGTGTGAAATCTATGGAGCAGCTCAACAAGGGCCTAATTGCTAGTTTAATTCACGTGAGGGGAAATAATGTTTGTTTCTGTAATGGATTTAGGAGATTTAAGCTATCATTGAGATTCCATAACATTAGTCATGGATAGGAAGTTAACAAATAGCACTACAAGGTAGCTCAAAGTGCTGAACTGGGACTTTGACAAGCTTTTTGAAAGAACTTTTACCCTACATAGGATAAGAAGCATGAGATAAACTCTTAGGAAATTTCAGGCATCCATGTCAACAATGATCAAACACAAAAAAAAAAAAACAAAAATTTAAAAAAAAAAAAAAAAAAGATCAAACACTAGCAAAAAAGTCCAATAAAAAATAGCTCATCACCCTATTACTTTTGGCTTGCATAATGATACAAAGAACAGATATGCAATATGAAAGGCTGCTGATTTATGATGGTAACAGAAAAATATAACAACCAAAACAGCAGAAAGACATCACTAACCTGATCTTTTCTAACAGCTGACGCCCGTGGAGCTTCTCTAACATACTCCTCCATGGCATTGAGAAATGATGCAGGCGGCTGAAATATCATCAAGTAAAAAGAATAAATATTCATAAGAAAATAAATAAATAATAAACAATAAGTTTTAAATAAAAATACAATAACTTAAAATTCAGATGCCATAGAAAACAAACCTGATCTATTTTAATAAACTTATCTCCACGTCCAATATCAATGCTTTTACAAACTTCATAAAATTCTGACAACCTTTCTGCCTGCAAATCAATATTTAATTAGAGGATGATGAATAAAATAAAAATAATAAATAATAAATAATAAAAAAAAAATATTAGAGGATGATGAATCAACAAAGTACTACACATAGTATACAACAATAACAATATCAAGCCTTTGTCCTACTATGTGGGGTCAACTACATGAATCCTTTTTTATCATTATGTCATGTTAAAAGTCAAATTCTCATTTAAATCTAATAAAGAAATATCATTTCTAATATTTTCTAACCAAGTCTTTTTAGGTCTAACTCTACCTTTCTTAACATAAGTCAAATCTAATACATCAACTTTTCTAACCGGACCATCAGAAGGCCTCCGTTTAATGTGACCAAACCATCTAAGGCGGCTCTCTCTAATCTTATCTTCCACTGGAGCTACTCCAACCTTTTCACGTATATGCTCATTTCGTATCCTATCTCTAAGGGTAAAATCACTCATCCACCTATCAGTAATAAAAATAATATGCTTTTAACATTTACAAGAAATTTCCTAAAATAATAAATTAGGATAAACCGAATTACCCTATTTAAGCATTGCCATAATGAAAATTCTCATGAATGAATAAATGCTCTAACAAGGACACAAAAAAACCAAAAAAATACCTGTTGACCAGCACGTCGATATATGTCAAGTGCCTTGAGAGCATCATGGCGTTGCATCTCAAAGAACTGGAATAATACGTGGCATTTAGAAGGCAACATTAGAAACAAAAGCTGAGTACAGAAATAGCAATACCTTATCGACCATATTGATTGTACCATCACTAATGGCATTATAGATCTTTGTACTCTCAGCAGCAACCTACAAAATTATATCAGATAGAACAATGTATACGGGATAAAACTTAAAATATAGTATAGGACGTAATAAATTCCGTTACCAAGGAAAGTGCTAGCTGAATCACGAAGTTATGGATGGCTGCTCCTTGTGGCTGCACAAACATTCAAGCATAAATAGTTATGAAACATTTGAAAATATATTCTTGCTTGTTTTGTTTGCCGTGAACAAAGCTGATTAGACTAGGGGTGTAAACGAGTCAAATTTAGGCCTTTATCGAGCTCGGCTTGTTAGTTGAAAAGCAAGCTCAAACTCGAGCTCGTCTCACAGTAAACAAGCTCGAGCCGCCTCGCGTGCCATGGGCGGAAATTATATAATTTAGACGGGATTTTTAGAACTTAGTCAAAATTTAGAAAAAAAAAAGATGAAATGTTTAACATTTAAATAAAACTTAGGTGGTTTTTATTATTTTTTAATATTTTAATTTAATAAATAAAATAAAATTATTTTAAAAATATTAATATTTATTCGAGCCGGCTCGTGAGCTCACGTGCCGAGCCGGCTCAAACTCGAACCCGAGCTCGTTTACTCAACGAGCTCAAACTCGAGCTCGACCTTGACTCGTGAGCTCGATAAGCTCGGCTCACGAGCCCATAAACGAGTCGAGCTTGAGCCGGCTCGGCTCACTTACACCCCTAGACTAGACTGCATGAATCACTATTCACCAACCTGACAACTAATCAGACGAAATAAAAGTTGCTGCAGGGCAGGTAATTGAATGAGCAACTCAGCAGCATCACTATCTCGAGTTCTCTGTATCAAAATTAATATTTTTGGTTAGGACTGATACTTTCCGCCAGAAACACAACAAAGATATCAAAATTACATTTCATACAATGCTCGAAATTTCAACATTTAGGATCATGAGGTTTCCATCAAGAAGGCATATAAGAGCTAAGACATCAAAAACAATATCGAACTACTAAGATTTTTAATTTCTTAAAAATTAATATTGGATCAATTGTAGGATAATATGAATTTCATGATGAATAAATAAACAGTGGATTTTATACTAGCAGTAGGACCCTTTTTTCTGCTAAGGTAGTGTAATTAATGAGTCCAACGAATGTATGACTTTTGCACATATTAATATTTCACTTAAAAAACAATATGACATTTGCAACAACCGAAGGTCTTATAACAATTATTTTCTCAAGCATTTTTCTTACTGATATCAGTTCTTACTGAAACTTGGGGTACCTAAATTTTACACAATACAACATTACAATGCCAGGGTAAAGAACATCTTAGCCTCTCTGCTGTGTGCTCTTTATCTAATTTGTATCATCTGGATTATGGAACTAAAATCATTGGAAAATCATTAGTTTAGAATGGAGAACATTATCTTTCAGGCCAACAATCTTATCTTCTAGTTAAAGAAAGATTACAAACAATTGGCCTTAAAACTTGGTTTAATGGGTTTCATGAATTGAAAGCATTAAAGTGGGGCTCAAGCATGGGGTATCTATCATTTAAAATGAATCACCATTCATCCAACCTAATAATTTTGATCATATAAAAAAAGCTAATGATGGCCACCAACCAAGAAAGAAATAGAAAAGATAATAAATCAGATGGAAAGATGAATAAAGCTAAATAGGACAGTTAAAAATATAACATGCTGTAAACAAGCTGAAATAACTTGGAATTTCCTTATTTATAGATGGAAGAAATACCAAACTTAATAACATATTCTCAAATAATCCTAGTAAAAAATTAAAATGAATCAAATATCCATTCCAAAATGAAAATTCAAAACTATTGTGTTTACATTAATTAACAGATGAAATAATTTAGTATGAGAGAAGGAAAATGGCATTTCCATAAACACTCTTTTGAGACAAATGAAATTGAAGCCATCTTGCGTAACTGAAGTAGCTTTAAATATCATTAATAAATGAAGCAACGACATCATCCAGTTAACAAATTTAATTAATGCCATTTCAAATTGAGAAATGTAGCCAAAGCTGCTTCCAAAGCACATCAAGCAAAAACAACAAGCATTTAGGTTTTGTTTGGTATAGCCTTTTTACTGCTTCATAAATCAGCTTTTTAGTACACACATTTTAATTTTATAACAATAAAGCTGCTTTAAGAAGCAGTAAGAAAGCCGTCCCAAACGAAGCCTTAATAAGATGCATACCGGAGGATCCGTTTCTACGTCATACTTCAGCACATGAAAGCATTCAAGCCTTTCCTCTAAATATAATGCATATGCACGCACCCATGCAGAGTAGTCCCATGCTGTAACCAAAGAGGCAATATTAGTCAAGGGTAATGGTGCCAATTTGATTATGCCTTGGTCAGCTCAATTACAGCACTTACCATTTGCACTAGAATCATCCTTAAAATGAGATAAGTTTAGCATTTGGCTTCTGCTTCTTCCATAATTAATAAGTTCCTCACGGAAGGTAGGATCAACCTCTCTCAAAGCACGATGTATAACTATCAAAGTCTTCAATGCAACCTGAAAAGGTCAATAGACGCAATGAGTTGAATCAAAATAAAATTTTATAAGCGCCTGAAAACGTGAAGAAATAACAACTACAGTAGGATTATTCAAGCTTAAATTTGGCAACGTATCAAACAATTCAAATAAAGGTTTAATTTATACTTAAGAGATTAAAACTTGTTACCTTTATGATAGTTTTTGAACTGAAATTATTAAGCATAAGCAACCAAATATACTTTTTAATAAGAAGAAACAATTAGTTTAACGTGATAAATTTGTTGTGCTAGAGCCCATTTGGACAACATTTAGTGAAAACCTGTACAGAAACATGGAAATCAATACAGAATATACAATGTAGTTATGTGCATACAGCCCAATTGTGTGTCTTTGCAAGGCGCCTTGCAAGAGCATGAATACAGTATGCCACATCTGCCCGAGGTCTTGCAGCCGAAATGGCCAAAAATATAGCTGCAAAAAATTCAAAAGGTAATCATATCAGGTACAGGGATGTAATTCAGTTATTTTAACATATGTTGGGACAAATAACTGCTCCTGATGGTCGGATAGCATCAAAGTTTACTATAGTTTATCTATAGAATGAGATCCTTGACATTTGCTATTTGAATTAGAGAAAACTACAAATAAATACAAATAAGATATTCAAGCAACTAACAGTGAATCTATGAGTCATCTACATCCACAGTTCCATCATTCAATCAAGAGCAGATAGAAAAGTTGAAAAAGATGTTCAGCCAGCTCCTAGAAAGCCCAATACCTAGCAAATTTGACATAATCATCGGATCAACTACATAAAAAAATATGATCATAAATGTCTTTAATTCAAGATTCACAAGATTCAATCATGAATTGTGAACTTAGGAGCTACATATGAATATTTCACTATTTCACAAAATATAACTATGTTCTAAGGAATACTTGATGAGGACATCAGTAAGAGATTTTGGAATGTCTACCGCCAGAAGCATCGTAGATTGACAGCTACGATGAGGAGTTTATATATTTGATATATTTTATGTATTAGGTTATATTTACTTTATTTTCATCTGTACCTTAGTTTGCGTGTTGATTTGAGTTGTAGCCCTATGGGAAAGTTAGTCATTTCTTTTCTTTTTCTATGAGGCCTATATATAGGTCCTTGGCCTTGTATTTGAGATGATGATGATTATGAATGAAATTTCAACTTTTCTTGTTTGATCTCTTTGAGAGTTCTTGAGAGGAGAAACACTAGGAGAGTGCCTTGCATCACCCGCAGCCACCGGTGGATTCCAGGACTCGCGGTTAGTACTTAGTATTTCCTTCTTCCTCCTTCCTTGGTTACCACCACCGGCCACCAAGCCCAAGACCCTTGCGGCCGGCCGAATCTTCCAAATCCCTTCTCTTTCTTTCCCCAACCCGCCAACCCTCACCACCTCCCTAAGCCGCCGGCCTCCCCTCACCTTTCCACCGCCAGTCTCCTCCAAGGCTCCCACACCGCCGGCCTACCCTAGCCTTCACTAGCCGCCAACCCCCCCCCCCCCCCCTGACCTTTGAATTTCAAAATTCAAATCAACCATTATTACTTTCCTAATTTACCCCACTATTAATTTGGAAAGTTGTCTCAGTTGAATTCAATTTTTTTTTTTAATTTCAAAGCTTTTCTTATTAATAAACTAAAATTAGGAAACCTTTTAATTACATCAAATCTGAAATCAATTTCAGATTTAATGACAATCCCTAATTCAATCCTCCCCGGGCCCATACATCGAACCTAGACACATCAATCCCTTCCCCTATGGCCAACCCCTCTATAGCCCCATTCTCTCTCCAATTTGCCACCTAGACTCTCATTAAATTCCCCTTGGCTGCCACCCCACTTAAGCCCTCATTTAGGATTAATTTAGATTTCAAATTAATCTTTCCCTCCATCAAAATCTGATAATTAATTTCAGATTTCCTTAAACCTAAGCCCTTCTAATTCACCACCCTCCATCCCAACATAACCCTAGCCAAAATTCTCCTCCTCTCCAATTCTCCCCCACTTTTCTCCTTCATCGCATACAAGGATTATCTTCAAACCGACGTCTCCCCCATGCATGGCCGATCCGGAACACGATCACGGATTCGTGTTTGATGATCAAGGACGAACGGATCTTCTTCGATCCCCTTTCTTCGACTTAAACTTGAATATTGACGATACCGTGGACAATTATGTGGATCGCATCCTCTTCATGTTGGTACTTTCCATCGAAGAACATCTTCCAACCGGACATTGGCGAATCATCGGTCATCTTCACACAACTCCTCCTCCGGCTAGCTTTCCTTGGATCTCTACCCTAGGCGTCCTTTCCCTTGTGGTGGCATCTTTTGGATTGTGGCAATTCTTCTTCCGCCAAAAATCCATAGAGAGCGTGAGTGAGGGAAACTCGATGTGACTTTTCTCTTCGTTACGTGGTGGATTGTTAGTTTATTGCACTAGCGTTTCCATTTTATAATTGGTATTATTTGATATCTTGCTCTTCTATTGTGTAATTGCTTGCCATATCAATTTATACAACTTTTAATTCGTATAATCTTTTCTAAGTGAAGCATTGGTTGATGTTACAATGCCTAATTCAACCTTTATAAATTTCAACGTGCAATTCCTACTTGGTTTCACATCAATACTCTACAGAGATTACCGAAGGATTATTATCTTCTATTATAGGCATTGGAAGAATCAAAATATCTGATTCTAAATCCTCGAACTTAGCTTTATTAGTTCTTAAAATTACTTGTGATATCTTATCCATTAGTAAACTTACCAAGGATATGAATTATGTTACTGAATATTTCCTTTCTCATTGTGATTTCAGTATTCGGTCTTATAGAATACAATCAGCAATGCTAAAACAAATGTTATCTCCACCTCTTGGATACTAAAAAGGTCATACGGTATGCATAAAACATGCTCGATTAAAACATGCTCAATATATATATATCTTGTCCTAAAGAAAGTGAAATCATTTTATGGCACCTCTGTCTCAATCATCCAAGCTTTATGTATTTCAAAAATTATTCCCATTTTCTTTTAATAATTAAAATTCAAAATTATTCAATAGATAACTTATCAACTCACACCACATAAAAAACATATATCCGAGCTATGCATATAAACCTTATGAACCGTTCTCTATCATTCATAGAGACATTTGGGAATCCTCTGGTGTAACTAATATATCTAAGGTTAGGTGGTTCATATCTTGTACAGATGATTACACTTGATCTACATGGATCTTCTTAACAAAAGAAAATTTTGAAATTTATCACATTGTTAAGAAATTTCATCTCTAAATTCAAGTGCAATTCAAAACTAGAATCCAAATTCTGAGGATTAGCAATGGAAAAAAATATTTTCACTCAATTCTTGGGGACTATCTTTTTCAATAGGGGATTGTATACCTAAGCTCTCGCATGCATAATCTACAATATAATGTGATTGCTGAAAGAAAAAATAAACATCTTCTAGAAGTTGTTGGATCCATTAATATTTTAAATCCATATTGAGGAGATGTTATCCTAACAATTACATAGCTCATTAATTGAACGCCATCAAGAAATCTCAAATTCAATACCCCTTGTCATGTCCTCCCTCAAAATATATCCCAAAAACAAAATTATCTTCACTATTCCTCTCAAAATAATTGGGTGCTCAGTGTTTGTTCGTATCCCACCTTATGAATGAATGAAACATGACTTACCCTAAAAAGAATAAATTTTATACTTCTATGAATGTAACATTTTTTTTTTAAAACTAGCCCATCTTCTCCAAAATTCACATTCAAGGAGAAAATTCAAATACTTTCATGAATATGAGTTTTTATACATCCAACTAACCTCCAACCTCTATTTCTCACTAAACTCCCTAAAGTAAAATACAATATATAAAGGTATGGTTTATAGTAGACGACAGAAACATTCAACAAGCATTAGTGAACCAAGCATTCCTCCATAGCAAAATTGACAGCTTGAACCAAGCTCCAATCATCATTCACAAGAAAACACTAATTCTAAGTTTGAAATCCTGATTGCTCACAAAAATGGTACAATAACGATAGCCTCGTATAAACTACAAAATATTCGACTAGTGAATTCATCTCTTATAATAACCTAATTTTTTAGTTCCAGGCTTTCACTACTAATTTCTTCAGTGGAAATATTGCCAACAACATTAAGATAGTGTTAAAAACACCTGAATGGAGAGATGCTACCCATAAAGAAACAAAAGCTCAAGAAAAAAATGGCACATGGTAACTATCAAGCTTAGCAAATAAACAAAAATGTATTGGATGCTAAAAGAGATCCTAGCAAAAGAGTTTGAAATTAAATATTTTGAGCTTCTAAAATATATTTTGTATGAATTTTATAATATCAAAGAAAGTTATATCTATCTCATAATAAACATATATGTTGGATCTATTAAAGGCAATGCAGATGTTGGGATGCAAACGTGTAAATATCTCTATAGGGGGTGTTGAAAATCCGGTAATCGGCAGGACCCATGTCGCTCTTTCATCAAACAATCCATGTGCTTTGGTTAATCAACCATAAGATGATTGTTCATCTCAATAATCTGCATGTTCTAATTATTTTTGTTTTGATAATTAATTCTATTTTAATTATTCTTTAATTTTTAGACTATAAATTAATTATATTTAGCATCTATGAATATCTACTATTTTTTAGTTTGGAATAAGAGATAAGATTCAAGTTTGTTCTCTAGTATTCTTTTATTTTCACAGTACTTAAGATCACCTTCATCCACACCCCCAACACAACAAATTGATATATGCAACTCCTCTATATTGTAAATCCATGCAAACAGAAAAATGGGACATTTGCAATTGTAAAATAAAAATTATTTAAATCCAACTAGGCAATGACAAATTTCGAAGAAAAACAGCAGAAGAAGATTTGAAGTAATTCAATCCATACTGATTACTACAAATATAGAACTATAAAGAGCATGAAATGCAAACATTCAAAGGTTTTACAATACTAATATATATGGTCATGACTGATTTTGACCACCCAACAGCAAGCAAAATGTGGCATTTCATCTGCTCAGTTGCAGGATTAGTACCACGGTTAAGGTAAAGCAAAAGAACTTGAAAACCACGAAGCAAATTCATTTTGCAGAACCTCAACAATGAAAATTTTCTTTATGGGGCCGCTTGGTGTCCTATTTCAGGCAGAATTTAAAACAATTTTAGTCTAAATCCTACAAAACAAAATTTTTGGGACATTCAATTCTATTATTTTGATAAATTCCATTAAACGTCTATTATCGGTTATATCTAGGAATTATTAAATCCACCAGTCATAGGATTTAATAGATTTGAGAATTTATCCCTCTCACAAATCTTAACCTTTGATGTGCTTCTCCTTTGCAGGAGATTCAACATGGTTCGTAGCCCGAACGATTGCAATATCCAATTCCTACAAATTCAAACAAGTTATTAATTATCAAATTTATCCGATTGATAAGCCTAAGCTGGTAACAAATAAACAAACCTTGTAATCACTGTTCACTTTGGCCAATCCAACCGTGGTTGAGTCTTTAATAGCTCCCAAATACTTCCTCAAACTTTGCTGCGTGCCTCCTCCCTCCATCCTCTTTATCAATAACAGAATCTTCGTCCAAATCACCCAACACCAAACAAAATCCTATTAAGCAAGACACCTCAAAACTTTATGCAAAAATTAAGAAGAATAAGAACAAGAAAGAGTGATAAGGACTTCAACTTTTGATAATATTGATATTAAAATGTTCGATTTGATATATCCACATCAACTTCGATCAACATCTGATTCACCTAACTAAGGTAGTGTTTTTGCTAATCAATATATGAGCCCTTTTATGAATTACCAAATCAATTTAGCCTGAGAATTAAATCAAGAAAGTATCCGCTACCAAACTAGTCAAGCCGAATCCATTTCTTTATATAGAAAAGCAATTCAGCAGACATAGATAGAATCAGAAATAGATGCATGGAAGAAAAATAGAAAAACTAACCCGTTTAAAAGGGGAGAGAGCGAGAAGGTGAGCTGGGGCGAGAGAGAAAGAGAGAGGACTTTCAGAGAAGCCGGAGATCGATCGACGCTGCTTCCATTTTCAAAGTTCGCGAGTGGGAGAGCGGTATCTTGTGTCGCCGGCTTAATTTCCCCACCAATATTCCAGTCTGGCAGGCGTTTAGAAATTTTAATCTTCGCGTTTTCTTCATTTCGGGAAATTTTTGGATAATAATATATTATTGGATTGAACAATTAATTATATTATTTTATTTCGTTCAATTTAAAATAAATTTGATTATTTTGAAATTTATGATTATCAAAAAAATAATCAGATATCTAAAAGTGTTACATTTGTAGAAATGTTAGAATTGCCCTATTCGATTTGTAAGAAGATAATTTTAAATTTGTAAAAATACTCAAAGAATTTGGCACATTTGTTTTCCTTAAATTACTTTTAAGTGATTATAAAAATACTATAATGACAACTTTTTTATTCAAGTAATTAAAAATTAGATCGAATCGATCGATTTAATTGTGAACCGATCAATAGGCAAGTTCGTGTTTTGCAACTAGTCAATCAGAATTGGTGCGAACTAAAGGATCGACAAGCTAATCGTCGAACCAGTACCAATTCTTTGGAGTCGCCGGATCAACTATATGTTGCGCAAGCACTGCCAATTCTTTTATCTAACTGTCCAAATTAATAAAATATAATAATCTATTAATTAACTTAAATATCTAAAATTTAAATCTAAAACATATAACCCTATCTCCCTTTGACAAAACCCATGACATATATCTTCTCGCCTTCACGTCTGGCAAACGTGTGATTTTGTTGGTCTCTATCATCGATAATGGGTATGGTTCCTTACTTCAAAAGCTCCTTCTTTGCAAGCGGCTCTCTCCCTCGACCGTGCTTCTCTGACTATATAGCATCACCAACTTCATCTCCTGGTGCAACAACAAAGAAGGAAGAGACCACACGGAGAGCTAAGCTCAATGGAACAGTAAAAATGTGAAAAATTTGTGTATTGAAAATAAGCTAAACAACCCCCTTTGCAGCTCACGGTCTTTTGAGGGATAACTACTCATTCTAGAAGGTTGAAAAAGTGCAAGAAATAGTATTAAAATAACATAATAGTACTAAAGCTAATAATAATAGAAGTAGTGGAGGCTGAAACGCGGGTATGATGGTCTGCCGGTTCACCCAAGTAGATGCTGCCTGCATCAGTTCTCCCCCGCCTCCGAAGAGCTCGACTCCGACGAGCTTTCTATCACTTGAACTCCATCAGGAGGATGGTAATTGTAAATGTCCGATACGTTAAATGTCGGTGAAGTAAGGATCTCTGGTGGCAGATCAATGACATAGGCATTGTCATTGATCTTGTGGCGGATCGGAAATGGTCCTAACTTCCTTGGACTGAGCTTGGAATAACTGCCTTGTGGAAATCTCTCCCGACGCATCTGGATCATCACCAATTCACCCGGATTGAAGCTCTTAAAACGCCGGCGAGTGTCTGCCGCCAGCTTATACTTGGCATTTGACTCTTGCAAGATGCTCCTCACTGTCTGAATGGTGTCTGCTGCTTGAGAAATGGTTCTGTTGACTTCTGGTTTGCTGCATTTCGGTAAGATAGCCAAATCAACCAAATGGTTAGGGGGTTTAGTATATACCACCTGAAATGGGCTTGACTTGGTCGACCGGTTCACCAAAGAATTATAGGCAAATTCCGCATGACTGAGAAGCTCCTCCCACTTCTTAGGATTATCTTGGACTAGGCATCGTAGCATATTCCCAAGCGTCCGGTTGACGACTTCAGTCTAACCGTCGGTTTGTGGGTGGTAGGCGGAGCTTAGATTAAGTTCAGTCTTGAGGCACCTCCAAAGCTCTCGCCAAAAGTGACTGACGAATTTAACGTCGCGATCAGACGTTAGGCTCTGAGGGAGACCGTGTAGTCTGATGATTTCTTTGAAAAACAGGTGTGCAATGTTGACAGCGTCATACGTCTTCTTGCACGGTATGAAATGCGTCATCTTGAAAAAACGATCTACCACAACCATGATTGAATCTGCCCCTCGCTTGGTTCGCGGTAGTCCCAAAACAAAATCGAGAGTCAAATCTTCCCAAATGGAATCAGGCGTAGGTAGTGGAAGGTAAAGCCCGGTGTTCTGTGATGTACCTTTGTAACGTTGGCATACTGAACATCTCTCAACATACCTTGATACATCTCGTCGTAAGTGTGGCCAGAAAAAACGAGATTGCAGCAGCTCGAGTGTTCGATCTCGCCCCGCATGTTCCGCTAGTCCTCCACCATGTAGCTCCTTGATTAGTTGAGGTCGCCATGAGGAATCGGGAATACACAGATTATTGCCTTTAAATAGAAATCCCTGTTGTAAGGTGTAGTCCTGCTGAGGCCGGCCTTGAACACATTCGGTCAAGATATGAGCAAAGTCTTTATCTCCTGCATACAGTTCTTTTAATTCCAACAAACCTGTGATCTCAGTCTGTAGGTGAGTAATCAGTGCAGCTCGACGGCTTAGTGCATCCGCAACCCGGTTGGTATGTCCGGCCTTGTGCTTGATAACAAAGCTGAACCTTTGAAAGAAAACTATCCAACGGGCGTGCATGCGACTGATGTTTTTTTTACTATTAATATACTGCAGGGCTTGATTGTCACTACATAAAACGAAATCTTTATGTAACAAGTAATGATCCCATTGCTTGAGCGCCCGGACTACGGCGTACAACTCCTGCTCGTATACTGACCACTTCTGCCGAGCTGAGCTTAATTTCTCACTAAAATATTCAATCGGTCTACCTTCCTGAGATAACACGGCTCCCACGCCTATGGACGACGCATCCGTATCCACCTGGAATGGCTTGTCAAAGTCAGGCAATGCTGGCACGGGGGCGGAACAAAGAGCGGCTTTGATCTTGTCAAAACTTCTCTGCTGGGTAGGAGTCCAGGAAAATGATTGTGCCTTCAAACAGTTTGTTATAGGAGCCACTATATTGCTAAAGCCTTTAATAAATCTCCGATAGTAATTGGCAAGCCCATGAAAACTGCGCACATCAGTGAAATTTGCTGGTACTGGCCAATCTCAGATGGCCGAAATCTTCTCGGGAGCTGTCATGACTCCTGCCGAAGTGAGTACAAAACCCAAAAATTGAATGCTTTCTGTCGCAAACTCAAATTTTGCCAGATTGAGGAACAATTGATGCTCTTGTAGCAATTCAAGAATGGAATGGAGATGGTTCATGTGAAGCTCCATAGATTTACTAAATATCAAGATGTCATCAAAGTAGACCAAGCAGAATTTACCGAGGTAAGGCTTTAAAACCTCGTGCATGAGCCGCATAAAAGTGGACGGTGCGTTACAAAGACCGAACGACATGACCTTCCATTCGAACAAGCCTTCGACCGTCTTGAAGGCAGTCTTCCACTAGTCACCGGGTCTTATGCGGATTTGATGATAACCACTCCTCAAGTCCAGCTTGGAGAAGATTGCGGAGCCGGATAACTTGTCCAAGAGATTTGAAATTCTCGGTATAGGAAACCAGTATTTGACGGTGATGCGAAATAACTTGTTCCTCTGAGTGTCAACAGGAGTCCGCGGAGTTAATAGCACTTTCTCCATAACTCCCAGAATGGGTTCGCCATCATTTGCCAAGACTTCCTCCACCCCTTCCTCAATGTCCTCCTGAGCACTGACCGGGTCAAGTTCCTCCTTGCCCTCCACTAACTGTAGTTGGTGTCGGGCTGGACATTCATTCGATTTGTGTCCGGGCTGCAAACACCTAAAACATTTTATCACATTGGGCTTGGCATAGGGATTCTCTCGTGCAGGAGCTCGAGGCCGAATGGTTCCCCTGTTTTCCTGAGTCACATTGGCTGGTGCTGTGGGAGATGTAGCAGATTTTATTGGTGGAGTCACCGCCTTCGAAGGTCTAGCATTGCCATCCGCGAATGATCGACGGGGAAGATTTGTCCGGTAATGCCGCTGAAGTTGACTCTCCGCCTTGAGGGCGAAATTCACAGCTTAAGAGAGTGACCAAACTGAGTTGAGTTCTAATCTGTCTTGAAGGTTCTCCTTTAATCCTCCTATGTACCGTGCCACAAGCTGGTTCTCAGATTCCAACAAATTGTTTCGGGCGCTCAAACGGTAAAATTCCTCAGTGTACTCATGGACTGGTCGGTGACCTTGCCGGCACTGTTGATTTTGAAGATACAACAGTTGTTCGAAATCCATAGGCAAGAAATGTCTCCTCATGAGCTGCTTCAATCGACTCCAACTACGGATTGGACTCTTTCCTTCACGGTGGCGATTCTGGAGCAGTTGCAACCACCACGCATTGGCTCCTCCTTTGAGACGGCAGGCCACATATTTAACCTGTTTCTCGGGATGAACTTCCATATAATCAAAGAAATTTTCTACCGCACCTTCCCAATCCAAGTAGTCTTCAATATGTAATCTCCCGTCAAAGAAGGGAATGTCCATTTTTATACGGAATCCCTCAGCTTCCATCCGTGGCATTCGATGTCTCCTTCCTCTGGCCTGATGAGGGAAGAATGCTTCCCCCTCTGAATCGGATTGCTCTGGTCTCTGTACGTCTTCTTCCTCTGATTCTGAGTATTCCGGCATCAACACAGGACCTCCAGGAGCGCGACGGACTGGTTGCCTCAGCTCCGGTATGGTTGCCGGAACAAATGGCCGCGCTACTGGAGTTGTAGACGCTCTTATTTGGCGCAGCTCGTCTCGCATTTTCTCTGCGAAATGGCCGAAGTTGGTTATCAGCTCATCAAGCTGCTTCGACGTCTGTCGGTGGCTCTCCCACAGGGATTCTAGACTCTGCTCGCCGTCGGGTCGGGGGTGGCTGCTGCCTTCCGCCATTCTCGCGAACAGCCTAGCTCTGATACCACAATGGTGCAGTAGCAAAGAAGGAAGAGACCACACGGAGAGCTAAGCTCAATGGAACAGTAAAACTGTGAACAATTTGTGTATTGAAAATAAGCTAAATAACCCCCTCTGCAGCTCACGGTCTTTTGAGGGATAACTACTCATTCTAGAAGGTTGAAAAAGTGCAGGAAATAGTATTAAAATAACATAATAGTACTAAAGCTAATAATAATAGAAGTAGTGGAGGCTGAAACGCGGGTATGATGGTCCGCCGGTTCACCCAAGTAGATGCTGCCTGCATCATCTCCTCATTTACATCGACTTGATGTTGTGTTTGTTGAATGTAAGTGATCTCTCTCTCTCTCTCTCCCCCCTTGCATAGATGATAACTTATATGTAGATTGGTTAGATAATCACCTTGTTTGCCTCGAATCTTCTAGCCCTTGCTTGATGTTTCCGCTTTTGATGAAGTTCAAAATGCATATTTGTGCTATTTTTTTTCCTAAAAAATCATGTTGGATCATAATCTAGTTATTTTTATGAATAGGTTGCATATGACCTTTATTTACCTTGTTTTGTTGTATTTCATTACTACATAGCTTGGTCAACTTGTCTTATATTTGTTTATCATGTTTTACAATTTGTTGATTCATTGCCACCTTGGTATCCAATATACAAACTTAGTGAAAGTTTCTTAGTTTCTACTAATATCTAAAAATTATATTCCGGCAAAATAATAATTTCACATGTCACGTTTGTAGATGAAGGTGATTTTGGTGATGCTAAAACTGAAAATCTGGAATGTGATAATTTGGAAGATTTAGATATTGAGCCTTTTGGAGAGAAAACTATTGGGATGCAATTTTTTAAGAGACTAATTGAGGATGAATTTTATTTTTATTTTTTTTAATTTTAGACAACAGTAGTTACACTTTATGTTTGAATTTATCTTTGTGGTGGAATTTATGAAATGAATATTGTGTATATGGAATAATGAATGTTTTGTTTTGTATGTGCCTGATCTAAGCTATTACTTGTGTTTTGAACTAATTGGATGTTTGTTCACAAAATCAGAGCAAGTATCAATACAAATAAAGAGAAACAAGGGAATTATTTATGTATCCTTCGTGTTTAGAATACAATAAGGTTATGTATTAGGATAGCCATCATCTAGGAGGCGAAAACATAATGAATGAAGTGATACTAAAAGCATTGGGTGGCCATTAATGGTCCTCAACCTCGAGGCAAAGGAGGCACAACCTAAAGGTGATAGAAGAGTGTCCTAGGAGGTTTGTGGCAGCAGATGAGGTAGTTAGGCCAATTCTCCTTCCAGAGGTGAAGGCAGCATGGCATGAAAGTGGCACACGAAGCAGCATTAAAAGATCGTAGAGGGAATTAAAGATGATTAAATTGAACAATTTTGGAGGTGGAGATGATATAACCTAAAGATGACAATAAAATAGACACAAGAAGTTAATGAAGGATCCTAAAAATGGTTTGATTTTGACTCATATAGAGTGAAAAATTATATGACTAAACGATATTAGGTGAGGTTGTGTAGAAAGCTCACGAAACCCACTTAAAGTTGGTTAGATAGGTGCTCCATTGATTGTGGAGATGGTATGGCTTAAAGTTGATGAACACGGACATGTAAGAAGGTTATTAAAAGCTAGTAAAGATGATTTAGTTCATCCTCCCTACGATATAGATGACACAATTGATTAGTGAGACAACATAAGGTGGTCATGAAAGCTTCTAAAGATAATTGAATTAGTTATCCTATAAAACACATTTGTGAAAATTGTTTACAAAATGACATATTTTGGTCAAGAAAATTCACTTATATAAATATATGTTAGTTTTAAGAAGACAAGTCAAATAAACAGCCACACATTTTTATACCTATAATGCTCATGAAAAAAAAAAATCATAAAATAAAATATTGAATGCTCTATAATTTGATCAAGAGAATTTGTACCTTAAAATTTTTATCAATTTGAATTTGATACATGCAAATAATGATTTAATAATTAAAAATAATATAAATGTTAAATTTATAAATAAATAAATATATATATGTTATGCATATAATTCCCTTAAAAATAAAAGCATTTAAACATTAATTTTATTAATACGTAAGATTTTGAACGATGCACATGAAATTCCCTTGGTTCAGTGAGGCCAGCTATCGCTGAATCAGAAGAACGCAGGTCGCGGGTTATTTTCGCTTGTGGCGCCTCCTCTTCACCGAAAACTGCCTCCGCCGCCTTCTCTCCTCCGGACACTCAGCCGCCGTTTCTCCTCCGAAAGAATACAGGGATCGCGGGCTGCCCTCCGAGCAGCGATCTCATACACAACCTATACCCGCCCGCTTAGGAGAAACCCTAGAGGTGGGGAAGGTCGACGGCAATCATGGATGAGGACCAGGAAATGGAGCGTTTCGATATGGAAAACGACTATGATGGTGGCCGCTGGATTGGTGACGAGTACTACTACCGGTCTAAGAGGGAGAAGAGGACTCAGACCAAGGAGGATACCATCTATGGCTCCTTCGCCGCCGCTTCGTCCGACTCCGACTCTGACGGCCGCGTCTCCAGGAAGCGGAGCAAACGCGGCCTCATCAGAAAACCCGACCTATCCAAGCCCGTTCAGTTCATCTCCACAGGTACTGTCATGCCCAATCAGGAGGTGGAGCGCAACGCTGAGGAGAGCACTGCTTCTGAAAATCATAATCCCAGTGCGGGCCTCGGGTTCGGGTTGGGATTCCGGGTCGATCCTGATAAGACCGGAGAGGGCGATGAAGATGAGAACTTTCTCCCGACAGCTTTTGGCAGGAAGATCAAGGAGGCAGCGCAGAGGAGAGAAAGGGAGAGGGAAGAGATGGAGAGGGAGAAATTGAGGTCTGAGAAGAAATCAATTGGGAGAAGAGAGACGGGTTCGTCTAAAGAGTTGGGAAAGTTCGAGAGCCATACGAGAGGAATTGGCTTGAAGCTTATGGAGAAAATGGGTTACAAAGTGGGTACTGGATTGGGGAAATCTGAGCAAGGCATCACCGTTCCCATTGAAGCAAAGTTGCGACCCAAGGGCATGGGCATGGGTTTTAATGACTACGAGGAGGCAAAGTTGCCAGCTTTAGATGAGGCTGTTAATGAGGGGAAGGCCACACCAACCGTGACTACCAGCAGGCCTAAGGAAAAGAGGTGGTTGAAGCAGAAACAAGGAAAAAAGAAAGTAGAGTTTATGACAGCTGATGAGCTGCTTGCAAAGAAACAGGAGCAGGGGCTTGATGTTTTTCAGCAGAAGATTCTGGACATGAGAGGACCACAGGCTAGAGTACTTTCCAATCTTGAAAATTTGAATGCTGAGGTAGAGGCGAAGGAGAATCAGGTGCCTATGCCTGAACTCCAGCACAATGTTAGGCTGATTGTGGATATGGCGGAGTCTGATATTCTTAAGATTGACAATCAGTTGAGAAGGGAGAGAGAAAATGTGGTGAGCTTGCAGAAGGAGAAAGAAAAGTTGCAGAAGGAAGCTGCCAGGCAGAAGCGGCAGCTGGAGGCAATGGAGACAATAGCAAAGATGGTGAAACAGGTTGAGGAGGATAGTCTGTCGGGTATCTTGACACTGGAATCACTTTTGAGGACATTCAGTGATTTGAAAGAGAGATTTGCAGAGGATTATAAGTTATTCAATATTTCTTGCATTGCTTGTTCTTTTGCCATCCCACAGCTTATCCGAGTCTTCCAGGGGTGGGAGCCACTACAGAATCCGTTGCATGGACTGACAGTTATGTCTTCATGGAGGGATCTTCTGCAGGGTGATCAGCCTTTTGATTATTCAGATGATGTAGTCAACACTTCACCGTATGCCCATCTGGTAGGTGAGGTAATCCTGCCAGCAGTCAGGATATCAGGGACAAATAGTTGGCAGGCAAGGGATCCAGAGCCCATGCTACGGTTTGTGGAGTCATGGGAGAAGTTGCTTCCTCCAATCATTCTACAATCCATCTTAGAGCATGTGATAATGCCAAAACTCTCCACTGCTGTGGATTCCTGGGACCCTCGTAGAGAGACAGTGCCTATTCATGTTTGGATACATCCATGGCTGCCTCTACTTGGTCAGAGATTAGAGGATTTATATCATAAAATTCGGTTCAAGTTGGGTAACGTTCTTCATGCTTGGCATGCTAGTGATGCTTCTGCTTATGCTATCCTTTCTCCTTGGAAGGATGTTTTTGATGCAGCCAGTTGGGAAAATCTTATTGTGCGCTTCATAGTTCCAAAGCTGATGAGTGCGTTGCAGGAATTTCAGATTAATCCAGCTAACCAGACACTGGATCAGTTCAACTGGGTTATGACTTGGGCTTCTGTTATACCAATCCAACATGTAGTTAATATGTTAGAAGTTGGCTTTTTCAGCAAGTGGCAGCAGGTTCTGTTCCATTGGTTGTGTTCAAATCCTGATTTCAATGAGGTAATGCAATGGTATATGGGTTGGAAGGGTCTTTTTCCACCGGAATTGCTTGCCAATGAGCGGATCAGATTGCTATTTAATTCTGGTTTGTCTATGATGAACCAAGCTTCGGAAGGTATGGAGCTGGTTCAACCTGGAGCTCGAGAGAATGCAAGTTACTTACGAGTTACCGAGAGGAGGCAGTTTGAAGTTCAACATACAGCAGGATACTCAGTTCATCTGCATACTTCTTCAGCTTCTGCCAATGGGTTTCCAAGGGATGGCGGTGGAGCGGATCCTGAAATGAGCTTGAAAGAGATTGTGGAGGATTATGCAGTAGAGCAAGGTTTGATTTTTGTTCCTAAAGTTGGCAGATCACATAATGGCCTTCCAGTGTATGGTTTTGGCAATATAAGCATCTGCATAGACTCTGTGAAGGAAGTGTTATATGCACAAGGACTAGATGGATGGGATGTTGTGTCACTTAATCAGTTGATACAGATGCAGCATGCTAGCAAACATCGTTGAATCACTAACTTATGTGGTATGTATTATAGGTCTAGTCGATTTTTGAAGGTTAAAGTAAGGGTTTTTTCCCTGTTATTTTTGCTCAATGCAATGTAAATGGCAGTTCTGATGTTTCATTCGAATTGTCTCATATTTCTTTTGCCGTTGCTTAGGCTGATCTCAATTTTGATGTTCATCTCTTATGCATCATATATAACCTTTGTAATTAGAATCTTTTTATCATTTAAACAATCTATTCAACATGAGATTATTTGAGAGTTTGTATGGATAAAGTGGGCTTCTTTCTACTGCAAGTTTAGAATACATGTTCTTATTTTGCATGGTAGGCCTGTAAATGATTTTTTTTTATTTTATCCCATTTAGTAGTCCTTAGGATGCAAAAGAAATGACATAAGATTGTTGTCCTAAAATTCCCAAGCTGAAAATTTAAGGAAGAGTAAGATAGTGAAGATCTTTAGACTGTTTGCTGAGGTAGATAACACAGATTTGGATGTTATGTGGATTCAATATCTTTGTGTGATGGAGATGGAGTACATGTTATATTATTATAATCATAGACCAAATAGATGATATTGTGCAATCATATAAAATGATACAACGGGTCGTATTATTTAATTTGGTGAATACTACTACTCCAGCAAACTTTCTGATAGCTAGGATGAATGGTGAAGAAGAACTTAATATGCCTACCCTAAATAGTTGGTAATGAGGTGATCGTTGCTACTGCTACTGCTATGATGCAACCGGTCATGTAGAGGCTGTGAAGAGCATTATTAATTTTAATTTAAACTTGATTTCAATATCTTAATTCTACTTGTGGATAAGACTAAAGATGGAGTTGTAGGTAAACTTGAATTATGGAAGTTAACCTTAGAGTCTAAAGGCTTTTGTTTGAGTAGATCTAAAATTGAATATATGGAGTGTAATTTTAGTAATAATAGATCTAGTCAGGGATTGTGACTTTGGGTGATCAAGCCATTAATAAGAGTATAAGTTTTTGATATCTTGGTTTTATTGTTCAGAGTGATGGTGAAATAAATGTGGATATTATTAGTAGAATTCATGTTGGATGGTTTGAAGTGGAGTAATGCATTAGGCTTGTTGTGTGATATAAAAGTACCCCTCAAACATAAGGGAAAAATCTATGAGATGGTGGTTAGACTTGCAATGTTTTATGGTGCAGAATGTTGGCCATTAAAATAGAAGCATAATTAAGTGTTGCAGAGATGAAGATGCTCAGGTGGATGAGTGGGTTTACTCTTAGAGATATGATACAAAATGTGTATATACGTGAAAAGATAAGATTAGAGAGAGTCGTCTTAGATGGTTTGATCACATAAAATGGTGGCTTTCGGATGACCCGGTTAGGAAAGTAGATGTATTAGATTTGACTTATGTTAAAGAAGATAGAGGTAGACCTAAAAAGACTTGTTTAGAAAATATTAAAAACAACATTTCTTTATTAGATTTAAATGAGAATTTAACTCTTAATAGGTCACAATGGAGAAAAAGGATTCATGTAGCCGACTCCGCATAGTGGGATAAAGGCTTGATGTTGTTGTAATTTAAAAAAATGCTAACCTTTTAGTTGAGCCTTCATCCTTAACATTATGTGTAGACATGCATGGAAGAGATATCATATCATAGAAGTAGAGTATTTTGAAGGCAACTTCTTGATCATTCAACAAAACTTGAAGTTCCTATTATCTTTTGCTTATTTTATGCTCTTGATTTCCAAAACATTTAAGCCTATAAGAATTTATAAGTTTGAGGAGTGTTAACATCAACTTAGGTATTTACTTTATATGTTACGTGATTTTGAATTTAGGTTAGGTTTTGGTTGGTTGCATGTTTATAGGATGCATGCATTTTAAGAATACAGAGTAATTAAATACATGCAACTTAAGAATGAATGTATTTTTTAGTTAGTTCTTTAAAAGATATAGCAATTTTTTTTTTAATTTGGTTGTGAATGCAAAATAAATGCTTGAGATGGAGAGGAAGGTATAGCCAATGATTGGAGGGGGTCAGGGAAGGTCTCCAACTATGGCGATGGTGGAGTGTGATGGGAGGGGAAGATGAAGTGAAATTAAGAGGGATGTTTCCAATGATGGGAGGAGGTCGGGGTAGGTTGCCGGTGATGAAGAATGGAGAGGGTGATTGGATCAGGCTTGAGTGATACATAAATGATTTGCATGCATTTTGAATCAGCTAACTTTGCCGATTTTTAAATGCAAGGAACATAAGAGTTTTGGGATATTCTTTATGCTTAAAATTTTATCCATTTGCTTTAAACCAAACAAAAAAAAGTCAAATGCATGCAAAAAGCAATATAATACACCCTAACACATGCAAACAAACAAACCCATTAGAACTTAAATTATAATACTTACATTATCAACTTAAGGTCAACTTTGACTTCAATAACCCTCCTTGATCATGGCCTCTTGTGATTAAAAAGCGTTAGCCTTTTATTCTGGCTTTGACAATGGTTAACATTCTGTATAGGAATGCATGGGAAGGATACACTGCTATTAAAGGAGAGGATAATATTTAAAGGCAGACGTCTCCATCATTCAAACAACTTGAAGCTCTGCATATTTTGCTGATATTGATGGGGCTTCATGACGATGCTGAAATCATATACTTCTGTGGATGGGGAACTTTCTTGAATGCTTGTTACAGTAGTGACTTGGTAGTTGAAGCCAAAGCTTTACTTGGTCTAGAATTGATCCTTGGAGCATAACACATCTTTTTAAATTTGTCATGTTCATATGTTTGCTTATCCTTAAGTGAAAGTTCTAGTTGTTTATGGATATCACATAGCTTTTTCTACCATAAAAAATTTAACTATGGTTTTCAGGTCATTCTTGGAAGCCATTTCATGGCTTCTTGCTCTTCTTAGTAGTACTTATGGTTTTCTTCCTATGAGTTCCAATTCATGTCTAAAAGTAAATCTTCAATTTAATCATTGCGTGAGATGCTGCATTATGACCTTAGACCTTGTGAGTTACAAATCTGTCTAATTCTTTTGTTTTACCAAGAAAAGAGGAACTTATGATAAAAATTGTTATATTAAACAGCAGACAAATAGTATCAAAATGGAAATAAATGTTTAGGTAGAGGCTAATAAAGTTCCTTCAATCAAGTCATAATCCATCTATTTCCATCAATGTTTTACATGAATTGACTAGTCTCTTGCTCAACATTCATTTATCCTTTTTGTGTCAAAGAAGTAACAATTATACATTAGTTATATTTTTGTGTAACAGCATTGAAAATGTATGCATGAGAAGTTATCATTTTTGTTAATGATTCAAGCTAACTAAATTTCAATAAATTACTGGTTAATCCACTTATGAATTGAACTTATCCATATGCAAGTCATGTTTGAGTCATAAACAATCTTGAGCAGGCCATGACTGGGCTCTTGAACACGAAAGAGTGTTAGACCCTCAGTGAGGAAGGTAATAAACTCCGACAACACAAGAGATGATGAAGGGTTTACAACTTGGTCGTGAGTATGAATATGATTTGCAAGAACTTCTAGTTATCAATTGTAGGTCATAGTTTTAGTATCTATTTTGTTCCATATTTTTCTCCTAGTTATCATCAAGTCAAATTTTATGGGTTCATGTGCTGCCATTTCCTTTATAAGGGCTATTTTGTTTTCATGGTTTGCTTTATCGTCAGAATAAGGTTTATTTTTATTTTTATTTTTTCTTAAATTCATTAGAATAAGGTTTATCAGTGTACATTTTAGGCTATTTAAAAGATATAAGAAAACAGAAAATAAAACAAGCAAAATAAAAGAAAAAAAAAAAAATTTAACTAACTAAGCGGTTGTAAAAATATGCAAATAAATCCTTAACAAAGCCACTGCAACCCAAGGACACAGAAAATAGTAGTCATGGACTCCCATAGTCATGTTAGTCTCAACATAATAATGTCCGTGTGTGTTACACTATCATAAAAGGTGCAAGAGAAGCTGCTTGTGCAGGAGAAGGCGATATTAGGGAAATTCCTATACATCCTATAGTAATAGCCTCCTAATGCCATTTTGCTTGTACTTGCAGAAATTGAAGAATGGAGAATGGTGGGGGTGTATGAAAGAATGAATACCGGACAATTTTCTCTTGATTTCATCATCATTTTGTAGTAGCAGTTCCCTGAACTATATAGAATCAGTTCTTAGCAAGGAAGTACTTTCTTTATGGTGAAAGTGATGCAAGCAAAAATTTGGGAAAAGTCCCAAATTTTTGCGATCAAAATAAAGACTCTTCCTAGGATAAAAAGATACAAAATACTCAAAACTAAACAAAATATGACAAAATAGACAAATTACAACTTTTATAAAAATAAAAGACTTACAAATTTTGACACAAACACACGCATCTAAACTTGCTTTTCATTAGCTTTGAGAAGAAGGATACATATGGAGTGGCACTTGCGACGAGAAGAAAGAGGTTAGAAGACTAGACAAATAAAGGACAAGCTCGCAAGCTTTCCTAAAGGAGAAGAGAAGCACGGAACAAACTCGCAAGCTTTTCTAAAGAAGAAAGGAAATCCCTCAGGTTTCCAGTTCCAAAAATACCATCATAACATTCTCTTTTCTAACATAAAACACCACATATTTATAGGAGAAAGAGTGAAGCCAAACAGCCCCTAAAATCTTATTTAAAACCTAATAAATAAGTGGAAATAGAAGGCCAAAAGACACCACAGCAGCCCCCAAAAACTGCACAGAAAACAGGGAGAGAAAACCACGGGAAACCTAGCTAGCAAGGGACCCGAAGAGCCAGCATAGGAAACAGGGCAGCATTTCGCGGGAAAACAGCCAGGGGGGTGAAACCGAGAATGAGAGACCACGGGAACATCAACAGCCAGCAGAAACTAAGAAGACAAAGGGAAAGGGGAAGAGAACCAGGCAGGGGGGGGGAAGAACCAAGGAGGGGGAAACCAAGGAGCCAAAGTAAGGGGAAATGAATAAATTAATTGCATTAATGAGCTGATAAAGAAGTAGAAACTCATTAATGAACTTACTTGAGAAGAAACCAATCATTTATGAGCTAGAACCACTTAATTCCCAAAATTGTCCAAAATTTCAGCTCAAAACCAAAACAGCCAAGGACCAAACTGTGAGACAACAAGCAGCCCAAAGAACAAAATATTCATTTTGTTTTGACCCCCCCTGTCTACATTAATTCTTCTCCGGTTGAAAGAATTCATCTCCCGATGAGTTGTCTTTATATTTCTTTCGATGAGGCAAAGAAGGCGCATCAAGCTCTTGAATCTTTGTCTCGTATTTCTTCAAAATCTTCTCACGTTCTTGCTTGAATTGGTCCTGCAGAAATTTCTTTTTCTTCTCGAATTTCTCTGAACACAAGAACATTTGATATTGAATTTTATACAACTCGTTTTGCAGGGGATTTGTAGAACTTCCTTGCGATGGAATCCCTTCTACAATTGGAATCTTCACATCCATAATAGTTGGTTCATTTGTAAATTTGGCGGGGTCAAATTCTCCTTAGGACTCATTTGAATCTTGATATGAGGCTTCTGAAGGATAATTGCATGGACTATCCATTTAGACTCAAAACAAAAACTTACATGACTCTCACATATATGACACCAAGACCCACACGACAACTTGCTCTGATACCAAATTGATGCAAGCAAAAATTTGGGAAGGGCCCCAAATTTTTGCGAGTAAAATAAAGACTCTTCCTAGGATAAAAAGATACACAAAATACTCAAAACTAAACAAAATATGACAAAATAGACAAATTACAACTTTTATAAAAATAAAAGACTTACAAATTTTGACACAAACACACGCATCTAAACTTGCTTTTCATTAGCTTTGAGAAGAAGGATACATATGGAGTGGCACTTGCGACGAGAAGAAAGAGGTTAGAAGACTAGACAAATAAAGGACAAGCTCGCAAGCTTTCCTAAAGGAGAAGAGAAGCACGGAACAAACTCGCAAGCTTTTCTAAAGAAGAAAGGAAATCCCTCAGGTTTCCAGTTCCAAAAATACCATCATAACATTCTCTTTTCTAACATAAAACACCACATATTTATAGGAGAAAGAGGGCAGCCAAACAGCCCCTAAAATTTTATTTAAAACCTAATAAATAAAGGGAAATAGAAGGCCAAAAGACACCACACAAAACTGCACAGAAAACAGGGAGAGAAAACTACGGGAAACCCAGCCAACAAGGGACCCGAAGAGCCAACACAGGAAACAGAGCAGCATTTCACTGGAAAATAGATAGGGGTGTGAAACCGAGAGGGAGAGACCACGAGAACATTAACAGCCAGCAGAAATTGAGAAGACAAAGGGGAAGGGGAAGAGAACCAGCCATGAGGGGAAGAATCAATGAGGGGGAAACCAAGGAGCCAAAGTAAGGAGAAATGAATCTAATTAATTGCATTAATGAGCTGATAAAGTAGTAGAAACTCATTAGAGCTGACTTGAGAAGAAACCAAACATTTATGAGCTAGAACCACTTAATTCCCAAAATTTCAGCTCAAAACCAAAACATCCAACGACCAAACCGTGAGACAACCGAAGCTAGAAGTGCGGATTCTGTGAAGAAATTGAAAGAAGAAGGGGTAGCGATGACTGATGTGAAGATGGAATAGAAAGAAGGCAAGATAATGAATTTGTAGAAAATTATGAAGATGGTGACTTGGTTTACAAATTGTTTTGTGTGACTTTGTTTTTTAAGAAAACTGTTGCTGGATGACTTTGTTTCTTGATGCAACACATTTATGGTGCGGTGCTATTCTTTTGTTTCCTGATCTTCTCTAATAAAATAAGTTAAAAGAATGATCAGAATCAAGAAAGGTGAGAACGAAATGAATTTGAAATGAAGTTACTTGTTTAGTTAATTCTCACGTAAGCTTTGATGGATGCTAATAGTACTTTTTTTTCTAGTGTTGAACATATAGGCAGAATAGCAGCTGGAGCACTGTGGGCAAACCTGAGCCTCTTGTTAGGCCAGACACGCAATTGCACATTTAACCATAGGCTAAAAAATTTAAGAAATGTGGATGCATGTTACCTATGTTTTCATCTGATTTCTTTTTTTAATTGGCTTTTTGTTGCAAAATTGTGTATATTTTGGTGCATTCTACAAAGTTCTTAAATTTATTTGGTCAGGCAATTACTATAATAAAAGTTTCCTCTAGTGTGGTAAATGCTGTGCTTGAGGTTTGGTGGCTTCTTAAATCCCATCATTGTGGAACCAGCCACTTAGGCAGAATTATAAACTTTTGGAATAGAAGGAAACGAATTAACATTTCCTTTTTTTAATTTTTAATTTTTAATTTTCCCTTGATCATTGGTGGCCTTCTTTATGGGCTTTGACGACCTGGTCTTGCCTAGCTGGAAGTTGTGAGGAGTCTGAGAAGTAATTGAGAGAAAAAAAGGTTGTTGATGGATGATTTGAAGATGGAATACAGAGAAGACAGGTGAAGGAGATTTGCAGAAAATTATGAAGAGGGTGGCTTGGCTTACAATTTGTTTGGTGAGACTTTGTTTTTCTGGAAAGTTTTTTTCAGTATGATTTTGTTTCTTGATGCAATATATTTGAGTTGCATTGCTATTTTTTTGTTGCCTGTTTTTTTTTTTAATAAAACAGTTAAAAGAATGATTAGAATCAAGAAAGATGGTGAGAAGGAAACGAATTTGAAATAAAGTTTCTTGTTTAGTTGATTCTTCAGTGAGTTCTATTGGATGTTATGTTATTTTGTTCTAGCATTGGACAATAGTAGCTGATTACCAGTAGGACTGCTATTAGCAAACTTGATCCTCTTGATAGCTAGATATGCGCAATTGCACCTCTAGCAACAGGCTTTAATGTTTGAGTAATAATGGTGCAGTTTACTTGTATTTTCGTTTTATTTGGTTTTTTAAATAACCATTTCTTGTGTATATTTTGGTACATAACTACAAAGATATCAAGTTCATTTGCCTACGCAATTACTTGAATATAATTTTCCTTAAGTGTGATAAATTGATTTGTCCTCTAGGTTTTTTGGCTTCTTAAATTCCATCATTGTGGAACCACCCATCTAGATACAATAGTAAAATTTTGGAGTCAAATCTAAGCACTCATTAACCATGCCCAATTTTGATTTGCCTCCCCCGGGCTACCCTAGGGCTCTAATGGCTTGATATTGCTTGGGTAGGGTTAGACACCATTTTAGGCTTGATTTTCGGACTCAAATCATGCTGTCCTCTAAAACATAATAATGAAAAATTAACATATGTAATATAGGCATGGCAATATTTTCTTATGGAATAATTTTAATGATAGACAATATATTATTTATTTAATTGATGGGGCCTGGGTTTGATCAAAGCCTAACCTAGGAAAAGACAATTCTCATTGGCACAACTGGACATTGAAGTGGTCTAACCCCAAAATTATTGAGTGGAAGACCATTGCATGACCAGTAGGGGTACCGAGACCTTGGCGACATAGATAATGTTTTAGCAAAAGGTCTTCATGTTATAAATTTTTCTTTAATGTTGAATTATTTTTCCTGCTCTACTTTTCTTTGTTGTAGACAGTAAAGCATGTAAATAGCAACCATGATGCTTTTTTCTTTCTTTTTTTTTTTTTTTTTTGGGGGGGGGGGGGTGGTGTTGAACCACTGTACGTGGAGGCCAAAAAACTACATTGATGGATTGATGATTCATTTTTATTCTAGTTGGGAAATGTAGATGAAGACGATAATGCATTTGGCAAATTTTTATTCTTAGACTTTTTAATACATTTTCTTATAGCTCTTGAATATTGTATATTTGACTTTATGAGCAAGATTTGGCAGCTGCAACAATGAATGTGATATCATCTTGAAAATTTTCTTATGACTCCAGTCTAAAATTTAAATTTGCTTGTAACAGTTTAGTAAACGCAAATCCCTCTTTTTCCCCTTAGTTCTATCTCATTTCTTGATATTCTCTCTCTAATATTTCAACTTTCCCCTCAACATCATCTCTCTGGTTGATATCCTTCCCCACTCATCTTTTTATCTGCTTCTCTCTATAGTTCCTAATTAATCCTAGTAACAAGTAAGGATTGAGTCCAGAAAGAAGCAATTAAATCAAAATCAATTAAGAATTGATCGAGAAAAATGACATGCATGGCGATAAATAAAAAAAAAAACAATTTTATTATTAGATTCAAAACTTTATAAATGGCTGACCTTGAAACTCTAACTATAACCCCCTCCCCCTTAATGCCATATCTTCACCATCTCACCCACCAATCTCTCTCGAAAACTATCCCACTAGAGGTCTACCAACTTTCCATTAATCTGTCATTGGAAGAACCCCTTTTAACCTTTAATAAAGTATAAAACTTTATCCCTCACTCCACACAAAAAATTACTTCAATTCCGTCTAACTTAAATGGCTTGAAAAAAAATGGTGACAAGATCTTGATGAGTCTCGTATGATTGGATCAAGATTAGACTTTTGTTGAGGAGACCAAGACGATCATAACAGAAGTTCATAGAGTGGACTTCAATTTGAATCAATACATAATTGTGGAGTTTCATTTGTATTTTGCTTTATGGTTTGATCTATTTTGAACTCAAGCTAAATCTTATTCTAGAGGCAATTTAACTTGTTATGCTTTAAGATTCATGTAGAAATCTTATATTGCTTGCTACCATTGATTACCCTATTTGCCCCCCGAACCCTATTGTGCATATTAAATCCTACATATTATGAAGTTTACCTATTATTCTATGCAAAAGATTTTCAAGTTAATTTGAGCATGCTGTAAGATGGACATTGTTAGAAAATTCCAAATTTTTATGAGTTTATAATGCTGCTTGTTTTCTTTTTCTTTTTTTTTTGGGATAAATTGCATAATATATTTGCAATAGGATTATCTGACCATCTTTAATCTCCTTGTACAACACCTAGGGTACTTTGTTGAAGCTTTTCTTTAGAAAACTTATCGTTGTCCTTGTCGACCACTTGTTAGCCCAACTTTATCTATTGAGAAAATAATCGGGCCCTATTGGGTTCAATCTGATTGGATTCCTTAACATCAAAGCACAATTGCCATTTTTACCAGAGGAGTGGTACTTTGCTTCCTAGGAGCAAGTGATGGTGAGGAGCATGTCAACTGGTTGTTGTATGCATGCCCTATTTTTGCTTTTATTGATTGATGCGAAGGAAAACTAGCATGTTGCAATAATAAAATTGTATTTTCATAATTTGGTTTCCATTTGCAAGCCATTTGATTTTGTAGAATTTAAAAAGCTTGAATAAATAACCAACATAGCACCTAAACTTTTTAGTTGTGTGCATTTTAATTTATATTTTTTCAAGCGTTCAATGTGGTCCATCAACTCAGCAAATTTGTACTAATTATTTCATACATTCAACTTTCTCGTTGACCGAGAATAGCTTTTCATGAGGGTGTTTTTGAAATTTTTATAGTTAGTTCGTTAGTTTCAGCTGATATTAAGTAGTGAGATCTACTCTAAGATGTACGAAATGCTCTTATGAAAAGCTTCCTTCTACCAATTTATGTTTAAAGAAATGACAGCAGGAATAATTTGGTTTAGATTTAATGAGTTGAGGAACTAAAATGAATATTTGATAAGTCTAAGATTCAAATGGATACTTTTAAAAAAATTTAGGGATCATTTTGATTATTTATTTTAAAAGGATTGTTTACTAATACCTCCTTATATGCTGATAGCCTTCTTGGACCTAAAAAAAGTGTGGTAGGCTAGAACTCCGAGCAATCATTTTGATAGGATACCTAGTCATTTGGAAAGGGTAAGAGATAAGTAACTAACTGCATGGATTTCTAAGAAGTAATTATGGTTGGCGTGTAAAGCACAAGTTTTATATTTTACAACAGCCTCTAGCCAGTGATGGAGAATGACATCCACATTGAAGAAGAATAAAGAATAAAGGAGGCTCAAAGGACCTTTGCATCTTATTCTCTCCATCTGAATCCTATGCTTTTTTGCCTGTAAAAAGGTTATAGCAAACATAGGAAAAAAACCAGCAATCAATCATTTCTCGTTCTCTTGTAAATCGACATTGCTATCTTGTTCCTGTGTGCAGGTAGCCATGGGCTTGGCACTTTCTAGGCTTGTCAAGATGATGTTTGCAAGGAGGGAGATGCGTATTCTGATGGTGGGTCTCGATGCGGCCGGCAAGACAACTATCCTCTATAAGCTCAAGCTTGGAGAGGTTATCACCACCATCCCAACCATAGGTGAGTCCACAGGTCTCTGAAACTGTAGTTCTTAGAGAACAGGAAGTTGATTTAAGGGAAATAAAACACAACAAATCCCACTTCTGATGCGTATTAGGTGCATGATGTAGAACGGGAAACGGCTTTGCAAGGGAGAGGATCCCTTCTCCAAAACCTGAAGGAAATTCTGACTTCTTTGCCCAAAACCTGAGAAGAACCTCAGATTTCTCTCTAGAAAATAGAGGTTCTCTTGATAGGAGAGAGAATACAAGCTCTAAACCTCTTCTCTTAAATTCTGAAAACAGTTTCAGATTTCTTGCAAAAGTCTGAGATGAATCTCCAGATTTTAGTAGAATAGAATGTAGAGAAAATTAAGGGAGGAGTCAAGCCTTAATGGCGATGAGAAGGCTGGAGGTAAATGCCAAGCCTCAGGTTCTGCACTAGAAATTCCGTCTGGAGCAATTAGGAGAGAGCAGGTAGGCGGTGGAGTAAGAGACATTTGTCAATGAAATCTGAAAGCAAATTCAACTATTTTGTTTCCAAAAGTTGCTTAGAAAATTCGGACCCGTATGCTTTGGAATTAATGACTTGGGGGAGAATTTAAGGCTCCAAATCAATTCCTGTAATAGCATAGGAAAGAAGATATGAGGAGGGAAGTGAGGCGGTGGGAGAAGTGAGGCGGTGAGGGAGAGCAAGGCCAGCGGGATATTGAGGATTTGGGGAATCTTTATTTCCTAAACCAGTGAGTTAATCTAGGAACAAAAATTAGGAAATATGACTTTAGAGAAAATTCGGCCAGGGACAAAATTCTCAAATATTGGAATTATTTCCAAAGAGCTTTTGAGTGAATGAGGGGGTTAATTAGGAGCATTAATTGACTCTTAATTTGGCAAAGGAAGGAGGAAGAGGGGCCGGCCTAGGAGAGAGGGAGGGAGAGGGGTTTGATTTCAAATAAGTGGGCCCCAATTACTTAGGTGAATTAATTCTTAAATCTGAAATCTGAAATTAAATTTCAGATTTAAAGCTGCGATTAATTCCTGAATTAAAGGGAGGAAATTGAGGGGGGATTTAACTCCTAATGCAAATTTGAATTTTGAATTGGATAGTTAAAACCTTCCAAATATGGATCAAACCCAATTAGGAAAGATTTCAAATTCAAATTCAAAAGGATTTGAAATATTTGATCATCCCAATTAAATCATCAACCTAATTAGGAAATTTCAAGAAGACGGAGAAGTGGTGATGAGGCCGGCGGCTAGGGAGCCATGGCCGGCGGTTTGGAGGATTTTCTGGTGAGGTGGCCGGTGGCTTATGGTGGAAATGGAGACGACGATTTGGAGATGGAGAAGATGAAGGTGGACGTAGGTAGAAGATGAAGATGAAAACTAGGAACAATAAGAAGGAACAAAAACCACGAGCCTTGGACTCTTCCAAAGACTGATGGGTGATTCTTTGCCCTTCTCCAAGGGACTTCAAGTCACGAGCCCGGACCCATCCTGCGGCTTGTGAAAACTCTGATTCCTTCCCATAGGAATCTCACTATCGTCCTCTCAAAAGAACACAAGTGTTGAACACAAATTTTTAATATCAATAATCCATCCCTATTACAATAGCTTAAGGTCATATATATAGGCCACAACATAAGAAAACTCTAAAATACAAAATTGCCCCTTGGGCCACAACTCTCACATAAACTAACCTAGGGGTAAAACATGAAATACATTAAATAATAACTAAAATTCAGAAAAAACTCATAAATGAAGATTTAAATAATAGCTGTCGATTTACGATGCCTCCTGTGATAAATGCGCCAAATCTTTGTACAGATGTCCGCATCAATGCAACTTCATGCATGCAAGTAGTTTTGGCGCATCTAATATTGATCTATTGAAAACTCATACTTTATTTATTATTTTGTGTTGAGTCAAGGATCAAGCTAATTAGGAACCAGATAAACATACAATATTTTGATCCTTTAATAAGTTTTACTGGTCCTTGAATAGGCTCATGGATCCCTAGTTTTCTATCCTATTATTAAGGTTAATGGTGTCATGGGTGAGTGTTGGTATAAATAACAGAGCAATAAAGAGAGAAGATTCCTCCTGAGTTTATTTGTTTGTGCGCACTCGTCACCATATATTGCAGACACTCATCGCCATACCTTAATTTTTACAAGTGTGTTTAAAGTTTACCTATTTTAGTTGTTACCCATGACTATCCTTGACATAGTTCGCCTCTAGTTTTTTATCCCACCAAGCTTCCCACTCTTTGTACACTATTTTGGAATCTCTGGACGCTTTGACAGTTCCAATACTTGATATTTGTGTGTTTCTCTTATTTTTTATACTTAAGATATGAACTTGTCTAGGTTTTCCAGTTCTTTGGATAAATGAATGGATGAATGAGATTTGCACCATAGATTGCATTTGTAAGATTTATGTTTTGTAACCGCTTGGACATGTTTTCAAATTGTTTAAGAAAATAATAATCTTAACTGCTTTATTTTGTCTCCAGAAGCCACGTTTTTGGTGCAGATATGCTTGTTCTTTCTGTCAGAAAAGTTTATATCATATGATATCTTGTTTTTTTATTGCAAAATTTGTGTTCTGTGGCTCAACTGATGCTATTAAGTTACATATGTTGTACTGTGATTCATTGTATGGAGTTTCCTAACAATTTAAGTTTGAGGAAACACGCTTTTTGAAAATAACTTAGGAGCATGCAAACTAGTAATATTACACTAAAGTCACTTGCAGATATTACTCTCAAGAATTCAGTAAAATCTTATCCTTTAAACACGGGGCCTATTATTACAGCAGAAATAGGATATGGTTTCCTTATGTTGACTATAGTTCAAAGAATTTTGATGTAGAGATTCCAAGATTTTTGCTATATTTTGACAATATTTTATACAAGATAATGTTCAGATTCTAAGATTTTTGTTTATTTGAGTATCCATCTTTTCCGTTTACTTTCTTTAAATTGACCTAATCTTAATAGTTCACAATGATTGGTGGCATGCCTCTCATGTCTGTTTTTTTGGGCAGGTTTTAATGTGGAGACTGTGGATTACAAGAATGTTAGCTTCACGGTGTGGGATGTAGGGGGTCAAGATAAGGTGCTGTATTTAAGTTTTCACGTTTTATTGTTTCTTCTGAGATTGGTAAATCAAACCATTTTATTTTAGCTTGATGCACATATGTAAAATATGTTTGACTCGGAAGAAGGTATAAACAATTAGAATTTGAGTTCTTTCATTTGAGCTATCATTTTTTCACCACTCTACTTACCTTATAGTTTCAAGCTCATCCAATTCCAAGTCAGGTTTAGCCTATGATGCATCGACACGACACGGACACGGGACACGACATTTTTTAAAAATATAGGAAACGGGTGCGGCGTGGACACGACATAATAATTTTTTAATATAATATATAGAAATTAAGGTGACATTATATTAAAAATGATAAGCAATAATAAATTAATTTTATGATAACATGTTTAGCTTATAACATAAAGATGTTTAGTACAAAATGTCTAGTACAACCACAAAAATATAAGCAAAAAATCATTTTGTACATCATCAAGGTCCAACTACTCAATAAAGTGAATAATAAAATTAGATTCAGAGGTTGGTCTTTGGCCTTCAATATCATCTTCATTGAATATCATTGCTTCCAACTCTGGTTCATCTAGAGAAAGATTTGCAACCTCCAATAATCCCATATCATCAAGGCATTTGAACTCATCTCCAGCAACATCCCACATCTTGCTATCACCTGTCATATAAAGTGGGGTTTTCCTTGATAGAAGACGAAGATTTGTATGCACATAAACTAAATCTTCAGCACGTTGTGGAGTTATTTTATTCCTCTTCATTGATTGAATAAATGAGTATGTGCTCCAATTTCTCTCACAACAGGAAGAGGATGATACTTGACCAAGAAGTTTTATTGCTATTGTTTGAAGAAGCAGTGCCGAAGCTCCATGAATCAACCACTATATTTTTGGATCCATCGTCCATCTATCAACCAAAGATTCTTGATTACCAAAATCCTCTAAATATCCAAAGAACTTTGCAAGTTCTATATTACTTTTTCTTCTCTCCTCATTTTGGAAATATCTTTTCAGGCATATATTTCTTATATTTGAAACTTTTAAATCTTTTTGTGGTGAGACACGTTGATGGTCTTCTTGAAGTCATTCAAATAATACAAAGCATATAAAATTATATGTTCATTTATCAAGAAATTTAAATTAATTTAACAGATAAATACAAATGTACTTTGAATTTAATGAATGAGCCAAACAATGCAGAGGTGTGTTGCTTTTGCTTCACATATCTTCAAGAATGGTATAGACAACGCTCCAAAAATTTGAGTCTTCTTCATGTGACTTTATTTCATGTCTGTATATAATTTCTTTCACTTTTGCTAACATAAAGTTCCACATCTCATAAATCAAATGTAGGCATGCTTTATTTGTGTCAGCCTCTCTCAACATATCATAAATTAGATCAATGAAAGTCAAAATGTAGTCTACATTATCCCATCACAAATCATCTAAGACATTTTCTTTAACATACATTGCCTTCCCAACATCATCTTCTTGATAGCAAGACCACTCCTCACTAATCACCATATAGATTGAAGAGCATTTTTAATTTATTTGAATATTCTCAACATGATTATTACAGAGGAAAAATGAGTTTCAACAACAGCTAACATTCTCAAGTGGGAGAAATCATTAAACATTGAAAGTCTCATCGAATGGTTTATAATAAAATTTCTGATCAGAATAGCATTATCTGCAATCACTATTATCCAATGACATTCAACATAGATGATTTCATTAGCCTCCGTATTCTTTGCTGCACAAATAATTTTTAGAACAAGATTTAAAGTGTGCACAACACAGGGTGTTCAAAACAATGTTTAAAATTGCGTATTCGGGTATTGAGGCGTTTTTTATTTGTGAGGCGAGGCGTATGCCTCAAGGCGTTTTGAGGCGTAAGCCTCAAAATCAAAAGATTGCGTAAACATAAATGATAAATTTTTTATATACTAATGAGTGAATAATATAAAACATAAAAAAAAATATAATATATGAAGTGAAATCAAAATATCCCAATAAAGCATATAAAATTATATGTTCATTTATCAAGAAATTTAAATTAATTTAAAAGATAAATACAAATGTACCTTGAATTTGATGAATGAGCCAAACAATGCAGATGTGTGTTGCTTTTGCTCCACATATCTTCAAGAATGGTATAGACAACGCTCCAAAAATTTGAGTCTTCTTCATGTGACTTTCTTTCATGTTTGTATATAATTTCTTTCACTTTTGCTAACATAAAGTCCCACATCTCATAAATCAAATGTAGGCATGCTTTATCTGTGTCAGCCTCTCTCAACATATCATAAATTTGATCAATGAAAGCCAAAATGTAGTCTACATTATCCCATCACAAATCATCTAAGACATTTTCTTTAACATACATTGCCTTCCTAACATCATTTTCTTGATAGCAAGACCACTCCTCACTAATCACCATATAGATTGAAGAACATTTTTAATTTATTTGAATCTTCTCAACATGATTATTACAGAGGAAAAATGAATTTCAACAACAGCTAACATTCTCAAGTGGGAGAAATCATTAAACATTGAAAGTCTCATCGAATGGTTCATAATAAAATTTCTGATCAGAACAACATTATCTACAATCACTATTATCCAATGACATTCAACATAAATGATTTCATTAGCCTCTATATTTTTTGCTGCACAAATATTTTTTAGACCAAGATTTAAAGTGTGCACAACACAGGGTGTTGCTAGTGAGGTGAGGCGGGCTTCAAGGCGGACCTCAACCAAGTTGAGGCGCAAGCCTCATAAAAAAAACTCGAGGCGTAAGCATCGAGGCGTTTTTTACTTGAATTGCGTAAAGGCGGGCCTCAAGGCGAGCCTCATATTGCGCAATTTTAAACCATGGTTCAAAATATATGGGGATAAGTTTGCTCCACTAATAATCCTGCAGCTCTACACATTGGTGCATTATATGTGATAACCTACACAATATTTGAAGGCCCAATCATGATTATCACATCTTTAATCAAATTGGCAATGAAATGTTTATCCTTGTATTCTCCTTCACAATTCACAGCTTTAATGAACATTGGGTAATTCTCTATAACGGTCATGAAATTAATAAGGGGTCTTCTTTGAGGATCTGTCCAACCATCACACACCAAACTAACACATTTTTGTTTCCACACTCCTTTTATTGGTTCAAGCAATGTCTCAATATGTGCTCTTTCCCTTTCCAATAATTTCGATCTTAATGCATTGTAGTCAGGTGGAACATATCCTGCAAGGTTGTTGCTATATTCAAAAATGAATGCATTTTTATAATGAGGATTCCTTACAAGGTTGAAAGGAAGCCCCGCTGAAAAAAACATCATTGTTATTTCACCATCCAATTCCTCTCGCTGCTGCAAATTAAAAGCCTTCTCCAGAGGGCTACTGACAACTCCTTTTCTTTTCTTTGTTTCATATCCTTCACTTCTAAATGATAAAGCTTGATCAACTCTCACAGATGAGGAAGAAGTGTGAGATGAGCCATGAGTAGATGGCAAAGGTACCTCTTTAGGGAGTGTCCTTTTGATCCTAGATTCAGCTTCATCAACTAGTCTGTTTCAATTCAAATCAACTGCGACTTGAGTAATCTTTTATGAGACATTTTAATTTCCATGGCTAGAAATCTTAAAGTAGAATGGCCTTCAACTCCTATGAATATAATCCCTTTGTAGGTGCCACCACATACTTGCATTTAAATACACATTCCCTCCTCCTTCCAAATGTTCTACTATTTACCAAGCTTATAAATAATCAACAACTAACGCTACAATTTTCACATATGCTCTTTGAAATTCACCTATCCACTCCCCCTAGTCAAACAGAGCATTCTGCTAATAAATACATGCTTTTCAGAGTTAACAATAACCAATCATAACATATGAATACATTCAAGTTAAATTAATATGAATAAATCAAACATATCCAATAATAAGACAACATGTAAACAGACAATATACCGTTCTGCCAGGGGTCAAGGGCGTTCCCCTCTGGCGAGGTCGACCTCCCCGATCAGGTCGCGTTCATTAAGGGGCCATAGCAGCGCCCACGGGTTTCCGGCAGCGCAAATATATGATTATAAATTTATAATATCACATTTGATGTGTTGGGATAAGCTGATGTTGTTGTTTTTTGTAATATCACATTTGATATATTTAATAACATCTGATATTAAATTTATTTAATAATATATCTAATATTAATTTTTTTGGTTAAATTTATTTAATATCTAATATGCTTTATAATAATATAAAACAACAAAATATAAAAGCTGAAAGGGTTTTAAGTAGAAAACACATATCTAGATCACATTTTCTATTAAAAACGCAATTAATCTTTGCATTTTTCGTGAAAACGAAGTTCTGATTCAGGTTTTGTGAAAAACGCACTATTGCTTTGCATTTTTTATCATTTTTAAATTTTATTTAGATTGCATTCCTTCTCCTAAATCCTACGTAAAAGCTCATCCTTTTTAAAATTTTGCCATCTCAAGGGCTTCCTACAAGGATCTTTTAGAATCTAATTGCAAGAAATATGTGACTATATAAAGCTATGCAGGGCATTAAAGTTAAATACTTATGAATTGAAATATTTGGAAAGCCCTGGTAGTATTTCAAACTTCAATGTTTTTTATTTGACTTGGTTTCTGAAACCTGCTGCCAAATCATGGATTTTCTCTTTCCATCCCTGCTTTGTGAATTCACATCCAGCACCTTATCAGATGTATTTGCTCATCTTATTCTATAAATTGAGCTATATGGAGGGATTGTGCATTAGTGATGGCTGATTTAACAAGTTTCTTTTGTCATTAGATGACAAACTTATTTGTTATGATTTAGGGATTATCTTGCAAAACACACATTGTTATGCTCATACATTAATTACTTAATTCGTGAAAGCTGATACCATGTTTTTGCATGTCTCTAAGTAATTTGAGAATTGAACTGTACAATCAAGATTTAGGTTTTCTATGGGAGATTTGATGCTGTTGGAATTCATAAAAGATGTATTGAAAAGTAGTAATTTACTTGATCTTAACAAAATTTGAGAAGTTTATTATTTTGGATTTTTTTGTAGGCTATTATTAGTAGGGCCATGAGGCTTGTAAAAATTATAGAACGTTGAGTATTATAATAAGAATTCTAGTTTTCTTTAAATTCTCCATGTTTGATGATCAGATGAAGTGAAACATGTTGGATTTGACTAAATTTTAACAAATTATGAGATTTCTTATTTTGTGGGCTATCTAAATAGGAATTTCGATGCTCCCAAAATTATAGAACATGGAGAAATGTAAAAAGAATTTTAGTTTTCTTCTACTCGTGTGTGATGGTTGAATGTGTATTGTTTTAAGTGTTTCACAGGGTTTAAAATTTACTTTTTGGGTGAGTCTCCTTGTACTGGCAAGGCTTAGTTCTTTTGGGTGATTTCTAATATTATTCTTACTTTATTTTGTTTGGTCACTGGTTTTCATGCATGGCTGAAATTTTATTGAGTATTTTAGATATAAAATTTTCTTTTCATAACCAATCCCATATAGTGAGATGAAGGCTTGATGTTGTTGTTGTCTTAGTATCATGAATTTCACAGTTGCTGAAATTTTATGCTCGTTCACTATTTTTCTTGTGGTATTTTAGAAAATTTCAATCATTAAATTATTATTTAAAATAAAAAAAGCATTTGCTAATTTTACATTAACAGTGACTGATTTTTTTCTAGCATCCAATATTATTATTATTATTTCTATCATGAATTTCACAGTTGCTGAAATTTTCTGATCGTTCACTATTATTTTGTGATATTTTATATTTTTTTCAATTATTAAATTATTATTCCTTTTAATCCAAGCCCAGAAGTTCAATTTGAGTCAAGCCTAGCTTATTATTTCAATCTGAGCTAAAATTTTCCATTTTTTATCTCTAGTCAAATTTAAAACCTTATTACTTGATGTGGCCATTGAATGGCACAAAATGACACTTAAGAAAAGAAAATAAGAAGACTTAAATTCATCTCATATGAAGGCCATCCTTTTCTTTTTTCATTCAAAGTTTCTCACTTACCCTACAAATGTACATGTAATTTTATTGCAGTATCTTCAGTACCTCCTTAAATGATTTGCAAAGAGCCAAAAATAATCTATTGCTTAACTATATATTTGTGAAGTACCTTAAAGAGTCTAGTTCCAACATCTGATATTTATACTAAATATTAAAATGCTGCCTAGGAAGAAAATTTGATGAAAGAAAACTTATGCCTAAATTATAGAACTGGCATAACTGAAATTCTAGACCTCTATTCTGTAACTACAGCTGCTGACCTAAACCTTAAAAAATATTCTTTACTGATACCGATTTAATATCGACATTCTTTCAGTATAATGTGTCTTGTTATGGAAGGTAACTTATCCGAAAATACTAGTTTTGGATGCTTTTTTTCTTTTTATTAGAATTTCTGTTGCGTGCATGTAATTTGATTCACTTTTACTTACTTCATATAAGAAATGTAGTTGAAAGACTAGAGCTCAATCTTTTTCATTATTTTTAAATCATGTTTGTGGTGCAGATTCGACCTTTGTGGAGACATTACTTTCAGAATACCCAAGGACTTATATTTGTTGTTGACAGCAATGATAAAGAAAGAATTTTGGAAGCTAGAGATGAGCTGCATCGAATGCTGAGTGAGGTTACCTAGTCTAAATTTTCATCCAACTAATTGTGAAAACTTTTCATAATAGCGTTGCTTCAATTAATAACGCATATGTCGTTGATTAATAGCCGTTAGGAAGGTCATATGGATGCTAGTTACTACTAATTCAAAGCAATGTTGATAAAAGCAAAAAGAAGAGTAATTTCACGTGATCACTTTTATTTACCATGTTTTTTACATTTTCAACTTCTTAAGATGCATAGAATGGAGAGTTCAGCTAAGTGGTCCCTTCTTGACTTAGATGCCAAGAATGGTATTCATTTCAGTTGACATAGTTGTCTTCAGTGCCAGGAACTTCATTTCGCGGTCTGACACTTTGATGGATATGCTAAATAGAAATGATAATGCTGTTTTCCACACAAACAATTATGATATGTATCAAAAATTTTAAATTGTATTGATGTTTCCTTCTTAGCACGTCGAGTTGCAGCTTACAGGACATTTTCTGCATTCAGGATGAATTACATGGCGCAACTCTACTAGTATTTGCCAACAAACAAGACCTTCCAAATGCAATGAGTATTTCTGAAATTACTGATAAGCTAGGGTTACATGCCCTTCGACAACGCCGCTGGTATCATATTCACATTTGAATTTATTAAGCATTTTATATTTTGTCATACAATTTTTTCTCTCATTCTAAATTCTTGGGGCAAAAGACATGCTCGTCTTCATCGCCACTTGATTGTATACTGATGTTGACTGCATAGTGGAATATAGTGGCATATCTATTGCACATCTTTTGTGTATGTTGTTTAGTGATTGTACTTACCCCCTTACACCCCGAAGTTGATTGGCAAGGTGTTGTTGCATTCGCTTCATATCCACTATCGATACTTCCGAGCAGATTAATGCATTTGATGACAACTTAATTGTTGTTAACCATACGAACACCCTACATTTGCTATAGTCTTGTATTTTGCTCATTGCCATCTATAAGTGGCTATCGTGTGAATGAGTAATCTCCTACAGTAGCTCGTAGGTGCTAATATTCGTCGATTGTCTTCTGAATTTTTTTTTGTATTATCTTACAGAACATTTTTTTTATTTTAAATCTAAAATATATTTTATCATATATTTTCGCCTCTAATTCTAAATTCTGAACTCTTGACAAACTTCAGTTGATCATCTCAATTATCCAACACCATACTTAATACACAGATATTAGACATTTATTCATACAAGTTCTCACCTCTTAACTCCGTTTATTCAACAATGCCATTCTTTTCTCTCTTGTTCACATACCAACATCATAGAAACTGAACTGTAACTGCAAAAAATCATAAAGATGAACTGATTCAACTGTAATTAACACCATAATATATTTCTAAGATCACCTTGTGAATGTTTGAAACCTTCCAACATCTTCAAAAACACCAAAGTATGGAAACTAGATATGATTCCTTGGTGCTATACTGCTACCATGCTCTTCAGTTATATTTATATTGTAAACTAATACTTGCTAGTATAATGGCTTGTTTGAAACTTTATTTTAACAAGAGAATGAGTAATTTACCAGTGAAGATTATCTAATGGAAGTTAATATGGTTGGTTGTCTTTCCCAAACAGGTATATCCAAAGCGCTTGTGCTACCACTGGGGAAGGCCTATATGAAGGCCTTGATTGGCTTTCAAACAACATATCCAGCAAGGCAAAATAACTTACTGTGACCCGTTTACATGCTTTATTAGGTGAATCAGGCAAATCTACTTACTTACACTAAACAAGGCTTGATTCTTCTTTATGTTATACATTTGCAGACCTTACTGTTATAAAATTGTTATGAAAGTGGCAGACCCTGCCATGTTTCCCCTTAAGCCCTGCGTTCCTTTCTGTATTTTCTGCTGCTTGCTTATCTGTTCTTGTTAGTAGGAATAGTTTTTATTGGAAGGTAATATGAGCTCAGGTTGTTTAATTTAATTGGGATAATTAAGGAAACATAAGATTATTGATTGTTATTTAGATTATGAACATTAATTAAAATTAAAGCACAATTAACTGTGGTATTAACAATGTTCATCATAATTTGAGGATTAATTAAGATAACCTTCGGATAATTAGCTTTTAGATTTGAAAAATATTCAAAGTTAGATACTAATAAGTCATTAATTAGTGAGAACTTCAATATCTTATTTATAAAATTAAAAAAAAATGTTTGTTTATGTATTTGGAGTTATAGCTAAATGAATAAGTTCAACAAATTCTTGGCAATAAAAATTAATAGACTTAGGTTTTTAAATTTTGAATGATTGTATTTAATATATAAAATGCCCCTCAGAAGCTAATCTATGAGAATAAACTTTCAATTAAGAGTTAAAGAGTATATACGATGCTATGCAGTAAATATGTGAGATACTTTGTAGCAGTGGTCATTCACAGATCGAAAATTAATTTTTTATCCATTCAATTAACGTTTTCTAGCTCAAACAAGAGCTTTGCCTTCAAGGTCCAATTACCTCCTACAAACTTATATTTTAACAATTTTAAGCAAAAAAAATTAATTTCATGATGATCCAAAATCCGGTCTCCAGATTAAAGCTTCATTTTGGGACCGCTTTCTTACTGTTTTGTGAAGCAACTTTATCAAGACGAGTATCCCTTTAGCACTCGAAAGAATTTGCTTTGAGTTTTTCAATATGCGTGCATGGGACGACTCATCGCTTTGGTCAAATTTGCGATCTCTTGATAGAGATCAACCTCTCGGGGTCACTCATCATCAACAGAATTGTCAAACTCCATTGACATCTCCGATCCGGCTACAGCAAGTGCACATCTCATGGGCCAATAACTACAACCCCTCCGACCCAGTCTTGCAATCATCATTGTCCCCAAAGGACTCACCCTTCACATCCAGAGGTCAAAAGCTTTCAAAGACTAACCTTCACGCTCTGAGGACTCACCCATATAAACTCGTCTTGTGTGACCTTTTCAAAAAACTAGCCTAACACACTAGTCTATTAAAACTTGCCAGAGAATTTACCGTAAGACAGATATTTTGAAGATACAAAGCCACGCAAGCACCTGCCAAATTTATAATTTATCATTCTTGCATTAATAATTTTTACTTTTTCATTGAGTATAATATTTCCCTCTAACACTCCAAACCCTATAAAGAATGTGTGAGAAAGCACATTCAATATATATATTTTTTTGTACTTAGGTCTTTAGAGTATACTTATATCATGATTTCTCTCTCTCTCCATATTCATCTGAATCTCTCTAAGTTCTTTAGTTATTAATTAGAAGATGATTTATTAATAAAATTGGGTGTATCTACGAGATTATTACGTACGGACACTGAACGCATTCAGAGACCAATCTGGACGCACCACGTTACCCAATGCACTGTGTATTGGATGGCGTGACGCATCCATATTGGTCTCCATACGCATTCAACGTCCATAATAATTTTTCCTTATCTAAAGACAAATGTGAATCTAACATCAATTATTTCATTTAGAAACTAATACACCCATCACATAAAGCAAAATCTGATTCATGCACTTACAAAATGGTTGAAAATGACAGTCAAGATGATGAGAAAAGCCTGATAAGCAAAAAAGTTCCTAAACGCAAAAACTATGAAACAATTTGTACCACTTTGTTTATTGGCTTCTTTCGGCCGACAACTTTTAGCCCATCACCAATTTGCATCCAAACCCGTACGATATTGCTGTTGTTAAGTTCACCATTTTCAGCTCTATTCAAAATAATGCAGGCACGGGTTTCCTATAGGGCTATAAATATGATTTCCAGATAAGCAACAATTTCAAAAATAGTATCAAATAAATTTCAGAGGTCTTGCAAAGTAGCAAAAGTAGAATAAGGGTTTACAAAAACAGATTCAAGTTTGCAAACTAAAACTGACAGATTAACCTGAAAGATGAATAAGAACTAATACTTCTATGGGAAGTAAACAGGCCAATTGAAGTAGTATGAGTCACGCAGCGGCTTGCTCATGTACTGGTTCCACTGTAATCATAGAAGGATAAAAGAATTTAAGTTATTGCAGGAGATGAGACAAAAAAAAATGAAAAGAAACTTTCCTAAAGGTAAACAAGATAGTTAATCTTTCTGAATGATTTAAGGGAAATTAAGAACACTAGTTAATTTGATTGTGATCCATTTCTAATAGCTAGCTGCGTCACAATTGTGATTCTCAAAACAATATAAATCACAAACAATGATAGTCACACAGATGGCAATGTTGAGGAAAAAGCAAAATAACTAAGTGATAGGAAATACTTGAGTTCGCGAGTGATCCTACCAGATCTAATTGACATCGCAAGCAAACCTAATAATAATTTCTAAAAACAGCGAGAACACAAAGAAATCGTAGTGGAAGAACAATCAAACGATAGCAATACTAATAAAAAATAAAGGGAAACAAGAACAAAGCAAAGATACAAGAGATCCTCAATTCGAGAGGAGGATCGTCTCTCCCAAATCTCTAGACAAGAGAGTTTAAAGACCAAGTCGCCAAGAAACCCTAATTTCAATCAATCATAACCTAATCATCCTTAATTCTCTCCTCCTCTTTCATAAAAAAGTTTTTCTAATTTAATTTCCCTCCCAAGCCCTAACCGCCCACTCCTATTCAATTTGAAATAGCTTGGACAAGTGGGGCCCACCCCCTTGGGTGGAACACACTAGAGTTGGCGGACTACTTCCGCCTCCTGTAAGGGGCCGGACTGGGCTGGTTCACACTGAAACGGCATATCACTAAGGTTCAGATGCTTTAGGCAAAAACTGCAACAAGCCACTCTGCTGATTATTAATTTTATAATAATTGTCTGGTATAAGTCTAGTTGATTGAGTGAATTGTCTGGTACAAGTCTAGTTGATTGAGTGTGATTGGCTTGGCTTCAAATAGAAATTCACAAATGATAAATATAAAATAGATCGAGCAAGGTATGCGGGGTTTTTTGCACGAACTCGAAAAAGTGAGAAATTACAAGGCCTAGCAGAGTAAAAATAGCTTTTACCAACTGTAGATATCATTCACAAACGGTTTCCCTTCGCTGAATTCAGAGCTCTCCTTTTGGAGGTGGAAATGGCACAATTTAAAGCTGACGAGTGAGGAGATACAACAAGGTAAAGGTGATGACTCTGGGCAATCAAGGCAACCAACCATTTAGAGGAGGAAATTGCACGAGTTGGAAGCAACATAAGAAAGGCACAAGAAGTAAAGGCCATTGAGGATGGTTGGGTCGATCCTCTCTTGAAGGTGAAGACAACAAAACCTGAGAGTGACAGACGAGGAGGTTCTCCTTTGTCCAACTTGTTTGAAATCATCTAAGCTCCAAATTGCGCGACCTCAGTGTTTAATGAATTCGTTGCGCAATGAGTTAGTCATTTTGATACTAGCACGATTTAGAGCTCATTCAACTTCACAATTAATGTATGAAATAAAAATTTTATGGTATGTTTAGTCTCTTTTAAATGTTCTAAGATATGTACCTTGCACCAAATTTTATGCTTGATTAGGAATTTTTGCAATTCCAACAATAAAATTTATTAAAGAATCTATGCTACTATTTAAAAATGAAATGAAACTTTATCAAGCAAAAATATAGATCAATGTTTCTTAACTTTTCATTCAAATCATTGATAGTTTCTATAATTAATGAATGAATTATATAATAAACAAAAATTTAATCTCAACCTTAATAGTGTACTACTATCTTATAGTCGAGCTCGTATATTATACGAGCTTGAGCTCAAGCTCAGCTAGGCTTGGCTCATAAGCTTGTCGAGCCGCTCGTTTAAATTAAAATATATTTAAAATCTAATTTTAAAATAATATAGTAAAATATATATTAAATAATTTTAATTATTTCATGAGTCAAGCTCGATCTTTCTTAACGGGCTCGAGTAAATGAGCTAAGCTCGAGCCTACTAATTTTTTGAATGAGCCGAGCTCAAGCTCAACGAGCTCAATAAGAATTAAACAAGCTTAGCTCGATCAGGCAGATACTCGATTCGACTCGTTTACACTCCTAGGTCAAGATGTTATGATCTGAAGAAATTGATAGAGGTGCATGAAGGTTATGAATGTAGCTAAAAGCAATCATGTTACTTCTTTTGGAGGAAGAAACAGTATGATTTAAAGGTGATGAGAGAGATGGTACAAGAAGGTTATGGAGGTGACAAAGGGCAAGCAAAAAAATCCACCATTTGAAGGTGGAAATGACATGAGAATTGATGTGAGAAGGTTGTGAAGACCATCGAGGATGATTCGGTCAATCCTCCTTTAAAAGTGAAGGCAACACAACCTGGAGGTAGCTGATGAGGCTGCTAGTTCAAATTCATTTGGAGGTGGAGATGGCACCACTTGATAGCAGCGAGCAAGACAATGCATGAAGGTTGTGTAAGTGATTGAGGGTAGTCAAGAAGTTTTACTTCTTGAGGTGATGCCATGATATGAATGTGGTGAGAAAGGTGCATAAAGGTTTTGAATATATTTGAAAGCAATTAGTATGGACCTCCTTTTGGAGGTGGAAATGGCACGATTTAAAGCCGACAAGTGAGGCGATACAACAAGGTAAAGGTGGTGACTAAGAGCAATCAAGGCAACCAATCATTTAGAGGTGGAAATTGCACGACTTGGAAGCAACATAAGAAAGGCACAAGAAGACCGTAAAGGCCATTGAGGATGGTTGGGTCGATCCTCCCTTGAAGGTGAAGACAACAACACATGATAAAAATTTAACCAAAATGACTACATTTCTTATATTTCTTTCCCATTCTTTGTATTAGAAAATACACACTCAAATATAAAAAATAAATCTTTTTTCTTCAAAAACAGTATATATAATAGTGCATATATTGAAAAAATCTAATTTAAAATTTTCTTCATTCAATAATTTTTACACATGTTTTTGATGCAAACAACAATATATAAGTCAACAGATTATAGCCCAAAAAACCAAAAACAAAATATTAACAAAAAATTAAATAAATGACTAAAAGGCTTCAGAATTGTATACGCTTCTAAAAATATATGAAAAAACTTCTAACTACATGAACTTGATGCATATCTCTTCTTAAAAGTAAATTGACAAGATTGATCCACATTAATAACTTCTTAAGGTTTCTCACTGGCATTAAATATCAGTTTAAAACATAAGAAAACATAAGAAACGTCAGAGATGCTACACTATGCAAATTAGAACATCACAGGTATTAGTAAGGGTCCCAAATGTACCTTGAACTGATATGGCTCCCCTTTCTCCTTGGCTTTCTTCCAATGGTAGTGCTCAAACAGCATGGCCTTGTCATGCCAGCTGCAGGAAGCATTTAATGTATACTCGAGATGAGATAAGTAGATGTTTGGATAAATAGAAGCATAAAGATTTTAAGTTTCTTATATAAGTAAAGTGGTACAGCACATTTCGGGCTGGATACATACACAAAGTACAGAAAACAATGAAATTAAATTAAAATATTAAAACAAAATATGGTGCAAACACTTCAAAATCACCTCAAGAAGTTAAACCTCAAGTGTCATCTTTACACACGTTTGATATATTGAAAAAAGAATATCATCTTTACCATACTTCGGCTGTCATCCAAACAGCTTTTTTTGGGAATTTTTATTTATTTATTTTTTTTTTGGGAATTACATCCAAACAGCTTGATCCAAAAGAAAGAAATAATCATTTGGATGGATAAGATTATGTCACTTCTACTACCTTAGGCTCAAAAGTGGAAAATAAAATATATCCAAGCATACGATTTTTAAACTTCAGAGACGGACAAGAATATAATAACGAAGAGTGGCATCACCAGAGAAATATCACAAGCAATTTAGTTAGTTATATTAAAGCACTGCACGCAGCAGAAATTCACTAAAGAACTCAGAAGTTGTATTAAATGCTTTATTCTAATCCAGACAAGGCAATCAAGAAAACTCAACGATGACTGTAAATACTTGTCTCAAAATTTCCTGCTTATCTAGGATAAAAGCTACAAATAGACACTGTTTGATGCCTACTTCATTCTCTTGTTTCTAAAAGGTGGCACTTTTGCCAGCTATTGCCACAAAATAACAATACTCTTCTCACTCAAGCACAACTAGAAGAGCCAAGAAATGACATTTTTAATTAAAGGAACCCAGAACCTCATTTTCACAAATCCCAAAAAGAAAGGAACCAAAAGCTAATCTTGTAGGCTTAAACTGCAGAACAGATTCTTTAAATTGAAATCCCTATTTGTCTAACGATTCTTTATTTAATCTCCTAAACTAACCAAAAACCTCTTCAAGCCCAATTTCTTCATATCAAATTGGGCCATGTTTCCCAGAGAAAAATTGCAATCTTAGCTAAATTAATCCATGACTTTTAAGCATCAGAAGGAAAAAAGCAATACATTAAGTATAATATGAAACAGTATACAAGAAGATTTGCACAAAATAGAATCAATACATCACACAATACTTGACATAAATGAATGGAGTAGAAGCATTTGTAAAGCCAACCCCAAGTGGATGAGATAAGAAAGGACCCATTTTAAACATGATGAATTTACTAGTGTTCATTATTTGATTGAATGCAATTAGAAAAATTTATTGATTTTAAACTCTACAAACACTTCAAAATCTCTCAAATGCGATAATTTCATCTTCAAACACAAAATGAGTGAAAGATAAAATATTGATTCCTAAAACATGTTTTCTATCTTCAAATAGCCAAATGAGGCCTGATAATAATGATAGAGATTAGAAGCTGAGAATCAAATCCCTTGGAACCTAAAATAATAATAATACTATCATATTGAAAAAATGAACCAGATTAACTTTCTTTTAGGCATTATTTTGCCTAAGAAGAGTTTTGGCTTAATCCATGTGCTCCAGCATATCTAAATTACACTTATGATTAATTAGGCTAGGCCGGTTGAAATCATCAATTCCAAAACAAACATGATCTCATAAACTTCTCCTCCCTGATGTCTTATATGAATAATTGTGCTTAAATGCATATATATATATATATATATATATATATATATATAAGTACTATTATGTATTTCTATGCCTATCTTGTAGATGTACATGGATTAAGAAGAAAATCATCTTACAAATACTGATTTTCAATGTTGAAAAGAAATAACCTTTTCCTGTTACAAGCGAAAAAAAAATCATTAGTGAGTATGCATTTACATATTTTACCATTAAGGAAAAGAATCGTTATAGTTTTTTCAAACTCTTTACAGTAAGTTGCATAATTTTATTTTGAAAACATGATTTACATTAAAAGAACCTATACTCCTGACAATTTACATGGATGCTAACATAGGTTCTTGCTAGAGATAGATTACTCCGAATAACATACAAAGAGTTAGAAGATAAGGAATGCACGTTAAATCCACCATAGATAAAGAGACATTCACACCAATTATAGATATAAGTTCACTCGTTTCCATCACTTAATTATTTCAACTAGCTTTCATTCAAGTCCTTCCAGGATTATCTATACCAGACCATGAAAATCGAGGTGGCTGCCAGCTGACTTGCATTTTCAACAAGAGAAACCAAAATGAAGAAAAAATATTAAAAAAAAAAATCCATAACAAATAAGAAATTTATGATTATTCAATCAATAAAACCATTATGTATTTCTCTGAGTTGTTTCAAAAACCCACAACAGAAATTGAGCGCAGATAAACTGTATCCTGCCAATACCAAAGTCACTGTAACCTGTATCAATAAGCCTCAAAAAGCTGGTGAAAGCGCAGATGCATACAGAGATTTATAATAAAAAGGCAACAAACAGAAAACTTCCCAAAGTAAATTCAAAATTTCTCCTTTCTATCACCAATGCGTGGAAACATAAATCAGAGGAGTTTAAGATAACGATTATGACTCTGATGTGGTGAAACCCTAATAAGAAGGAAACGAGGATAGAATGACCAACTTGAATTGGTTGGACAGCTGCCACATGTAAGGGTTGAAGAAGGCGAGGGCGGAGAAGGCGAATGAGCCAATCCAGATGTTTGCAAAGCGTTCGGGATCGGTGTGTGGCACGCCAGGATCACCGCGATAAGGATTTCCGAAATATTTCTCCATTTTTCCGGCTCTCTTCCTCGATCACTTTCACGCCAGTGGCTTAGTGCCCATTTTATCTTTAACAGTAGACAAATGAGTACTGAGCCCGAGGCGAGAGAAATCATAAAAGAGGGAGTCGGGTTAGGTTAGGTCAACCTTTAGGAAAAGCGTCTCTCAATGGCTTCTAAAAGATTAGACTTAGATTTCTAAATTAGACTTTTAATAACTTCTAAAAGATTATTTAACTAGTTCATAATATTGTATGCTACATCTCTATTACCCAGAGACCACAATCCCTTCGACCTCTGTCCCCCAACCCTTCAACAGTTCAACCCCAATTGCTCGACTACGATTTCTCTAATCTTCGTCGCCCGATCACAGTCGCTCATCGACTACGAATCCTTCGACCTCCGTCGCCCGATTATGATCCCTTCGACCACAACCGCCCACTGACTACAATCTTACTGACCAAATGAACAGGCCAACTGTTATTCATGTCATTGGACTCTTTCAACGCCAACTGTGTAATAAACTTTATACAATATATATTTATTGCATTAAGTCAATGAATTCCCTGGATGAAGTGCAACATTTGTAACAATAAACACTAGTGGGGTTATTTTGACTTGGTTAGACCTCATTGTTTTTATATGTATGTGTGTTATATCTTCATATAAAATTAGTACATTAAATTCATCATCTCTCTACCATCGTGAATGTTCCAGCACAAAACAAAGCTTATTTTAAAGCATTGTTATTACTCCTACTTTGAACTTCTTACTTCTTATCAATTGGGTTCAAATTTTTCATCATTAACTATTTTTTTTCTACAACAACGACAATATCAAATTTTTATCTTGCTAGGTGGGGTCGACTACATGAATCTTTTTTTCTACATTATGTCTTCAAGGAAAGATTTTTTTTTTTTTTTTTGCCTAATAAATAAAAAGAGTGGAATCTCTCATACTAAAATTTTAAGAAAACATTTGTATTGATATGTTTAAAGTGATTGTGATAAAGGGTTTAAAAATTCACATTAAATTTTTAGAAAAATCACAAATACAGCACCTCCACCTAGTAGCCTAGTACATAGTGCATTTAAATATAAAATGACATAATTTAAGGTGAAAAAATATATATATTAGAAGAACTATTTTAAAATAAGGAGACAATTGATAAGACCTTAAGAAATAACAAGATTAGTGATTTATGCTTAGATGATTTTTACTTAGGGGTTGTTTGGTTGAAAATATTTTGGATGTAAAGTCAAGTAAATACTTGGGTTTTAAGTTTTTATTTGTTTGGTTGATTTAAAGAAGAAAATTAAAGTAAAATCTCAAATATTCTAAACTTCATGAGTCAGGTCAATTTGTGCGTAAAAGAAATTCATCCAAAATCGTACGAGAAAGGAATTCAACAGACAGATGCGCGAGAGAAAGAGAAGCACATGGGTCTCTTGCATCCTGTCTCTTCCTTCATTATTGAGATCTTGTGTTTTGTATAACTAGATAATTATTGAGGGTGGGGATAACTTAATTTTGGCAGAAGATGAGTGGAGAGTAAGACATCATGAAAGAGGTAAACTTGAAGCTATTGTAGATGACTCTCGAGAGTGGTTGGAGAAATGAGATCTAATTGCTTTTGATATGCGGAGTTGTTTGGAGAATGTTAGCTTTTAGATATAAAAATATGTATTTATTGTTGTATAGCACTTATTTGTATATGCAGTTATGTAAATGCACTAAAGACATATTTGTTGCTAATATATCTTTTGTACTTGAATATGTCATATTCTTATTCGCTGGCATGATAATGAAGTTGTCTCAAATTTAGATGAATTCTAAGTGGTTATTTGCAGGATTAATGAAGCCACGATATCCATCTAGCAAATCAAGTGTCAAATTTAAGAAGAGAAAAAACTTTCTATGGAGTTTAAAACTTGAATGGATATCTGGGTTATTGCAGATAATGTGTGAGCATGTCGATGCTAACACGAGACCTACAAATGGCTTCAAAGATGCTATTTATCAAGGTGTTGCTCAAAAATTAAAAGAGAATTTTGATATTTAGGTCAGATCCGAGTATGCAAGAATCAAATTAGATATTAAAGAAGTGTTTGGAAGCACATAAAGAATTAAGAAAGATGTCTGGAGTGCCTTGGGATGACATACGGAACGAAGACTATCTTGATGGGTCAAGAGGAGTTTCTAACGCATATCTAGATGATACTTCAAATTTAGATGAGTTTTACAGATGTAAAGATACAGTCTTTTTGTCTTACGCTTATTAATTTGAATAACTACAGACTTCCAAAAAATGTGATATATCTTAATATTCTTCTCTCAAATTATATAGAATTAGAGAAAGTTTATGGTGAATATCAAACAATTAGAGATTGGGCTAGGTCAAGAAATTGCTAAGATCCATTGGATACTCAACATATTAACCTGGATGGTGAGGAGACAGTTGGTCATGTGGAGACTCCTGTGGATACATAAGTAGATGTTGATTGCCATTAACAAAATGTTAGTGAATACATTGTAGGAACGACAAAGCGAGGAATGTCGTCATCTTCTAAGGAGTCCACCCAAAAGAAAAAGAGTAAAAGACATGTTGATGATCATAGTCTTCATGATTAATTATATTGCAATGATGGAAAACAATGTAGTTCAAGTTGCTAATGCAATTCAAACAACAATAATAGCTTTTGAGTAAAGAAAAATATTTAGTGAGCTCGTGACAGATTTATCTAGCATTCTAGAGTGGAAGAGATTGATATTATATATGATAAGTTATTCAAGAACACAATAATGATTCATTTAATTCTTTCTCTCCAAACCTAAGGAATCAAAGGCTTGATGGAAGTGAAAAGAGTTAAACAAAGGATTCATTAGCATCAGAATAATGAAATTGGTATGTTGTGGCTTTAGCACTTTGTACTGGATTTCATTCTTTAACATTTATAAAAGTTTGATTATATTTTATATTGTAGATATTTTTTGCCATGAGAGAATAAGTGGTTGATGATAGCATATGCATGGATTATTGAAGAAGAAGATATTTTGAATGCCAATAATATTGTTATAGTTTTTTTTGTAAAATCTCTTGAGTGTTGAAACCTTGGTTTGATATTGTTAATATTTTGATATTTTGTAGCTTTTAACTCAATTTTATTGAGTTTCATTGAACAAAAAAGAATTGTTAGGCTATAGATTACAACTACTATTATTTTTACAATTGGCATGTTGCTAGTTTACTAAAAAAATTGCATAGTCTTGATAGCTCATAGAACAAAGTATTTTATTGATGTATAGTCGTGATAGCTCATGGAGCAAAGTATTTTATTAAAGCATATAATTATTTTTATATTATCATAAAATTATAATTATTAATATGGACTCAAAATATAAATTAGAATATTTTTTTACTTATTCTGTAGACACTCAATCAAACAACCTCTAAGTATTCAGAATAAATGGATTTTACTTTACTCTGCATATACCCAAGTACCCAACCAAACAGAAAAAATGGTTCCCCTTTGCATTCACGTTACTAATAATTAAATAACATCAAAATATTTATCTTACAATACATTTATTTTATATTGCATTCACTTTACTATCAACGAAATAGTCCTTTAATAAGGATCAAAATAATACTAGACTTTTTAGCTTGTATATTAGATAATGATTGTGTCAACCCATCTATCAATCTTAAAGATGCACACTTTACCTATATTAGTTTGGCAGTTTGGCATCGATCCAATCATCTAATTTAGACAATCATCAACATCAATCTCAGGTCCAATGATAGATATATGATCATTGGATTCAATTATATGTCAGCACTAATTGATCTATATGCCTCGAAGTATGCAAAAAAGAGGTTGGTTCTGCCTCTGAAAATGTAATATCTCAAACCCAGGATCCCGCCGCGTGAAGAAGAAGCACGGTCGGAACAAGTTTTTCATTACTTCGAGTCACATGAAGAAGATGAAGGAAATGAAGAAATCGAAGAAGACACTCGGTGCCATTTTGGTTGCCTGGAATCGTGGAAGCTGAACGAGCAACAATTCCCGATCACGTGAAGTGAAAGAAGGCGAGGAGCTCGACGTCACTTGGAATCGTTAAAATTAGAAGTAAAATTTTAAATTTGAAAATAAAAGGATATTTTCTATTTTTCTTAGAGGCATCATTAAATAAATAAACTAATATATAAATTTAATTTAGAAAATATCAATAATTAAATAATGATTTTTCATCTAGAGCAAGGAGGGTACATTTTATCATTAATTTAAACTTCAGTATTTTTAGAAATTGGTTAAATATGAGAGAAATTAGGTGCTTTAACTAGCTAATTAGAGAGAGATATTTATATTTAAGAAATTAATTATTGGGATTGTGGTATATTTTGAGCCAAGTATAAATTATAATAATGAGAACGTAACTATATAGGTGAACAATTATTAGGTCAGGTGACATGACGTAGCTCTACGTTCGGACGCCAATAATATGTCGCCACGTGGTCTTACTCAATGCAGCGCGGCCCGACGACTTGACTCTGGATGTATTTTTAGAAATTGGTTAAATATGAGAGAAATTAGGTGCTTTAACTAGCTAATTAGAGAGAGATATTTATATTTAAGAAATTAATTATTGGGATTGTGGTATATTTTGAGCCAAGTATAAATTATAATAATGAGAACGTAACTATATAGGTGAACAATTATTAGGTCAGGTGACATGACGTAGTTCTACGTTCGGACGTCAATAATATGTCGCCACGTGATCTTACTCAATACAGCGCGGCCCGACGACTTGACCCAGGATTGCTATGTTCGCGTATTGCTCGGTATTGCTCTACGTATTGCTAGGTATTGCTTGGCAATAATGAAAAATATTGCTCTGTGAAGAGCAATACCGAGAAATTTCTCTGTATTGGTCTTCACATAATTGTATTTCTGGTTATTGCCGAGCAAAATCGACCAATACCAAGCAATACCTAGCAACATGAGAATATAGCAATCTCGTCTCCATTCCGGGTCGGGGCTGTCGGGTCGCGCGGTAAATAGTGAGAACACGTGGCACTACTTTACTGGCGTCCGAACGTATAGCTACGTCAGGTGATCGGACCAAATAAAAGTTCGTGAAGCTGACGATAGTTTTGACTAAATTGAAATGTCAATGCAAGTACTTATGTTTCTATATTACGATAATTGTATTACTTATTTTAATTGGATTTTACTACATATCATTATAACAAATTATATGTGTTATCTCTTTTAAATGTAATTGATTATATCGAACTTGATTATATAGATTTATGTAATTTAGCACAAATATTATATTGAAATGATATGAAATTATATGGAGCATGCAAATAAAGTTATTAAATAAAAATACTTGCATGTGTATGATTAAATAATGGAGCACATGCTTTGGTACTGACTCAGAATGTAATATACCTGTGAGCATGAAAGAAAAATATTTTGAAAAAGGAAATGAAAATGTGTAGCATTGGTATTATTTTAGACAGTGTCTTCTATAACAATTGTATTATTTATAGAAAAGATAAATATATGACATATGTGACACGTATAGATATGCATAACATTGATAGTAATATTCAAAATGAATTTTTGAAATGAGCATGCAAATTATTCTAAATGCATTATAGTACTGTAATTTAAAAGATGATATACTCATTGAGTAATGACTCACTTTTTTATTTAAAAAATATTTGAAAAATAAAAAGATTCAAAAAAATTTGGCTACCACAGTACCACCCCCGCCTGCCAGCTTGTAACGTTGCATGTCTGTGGCCCTAGCTACCCGCTCGCCTTTCCTGCCTGCCCACGTCGAGTAATTATTGTGTCCGGACCTCGAACGCGTCCAGAGATCAATAACAAAGTGCCACATCACTTGGGCGCTCTGTATCGTCACTATCAAAAAATAGGGTTTTTGCAGCATAAATTTTTACTTTTCCTGGCGGTTATAACCGCCACTACATTATTTGCAGCGGTCATTAAACCGCTGCAGATCCGCCGTGTTTGCCTTCCGCTGCAATGGCCTTCCGCAGCGGTTTTAGGACCGACGGGGTAGCTTTTTGTAATGCGTTTTTTTTGCAGCGGTTTAAACCGCCAGTAATTCCCCAGAATAATAGCGGTTTTAACCACCACAAAGGCAAGCAAAATCGACTTAATCGGCGTTAAGCGGCGGTTTTCTGGGACTTAGTGGCGGTTATAACCGCCACTAATGTCCAGAATTTTTTTTTTAAAATTTTGAAACTTGCCGTTCACACCTGCAACAAATAACACAAATCATATATAACATAGGGATTTTTTCATGGCTTCAAATAGAAATTCATATACATGCTTAATCTTATAGTTTAATTATTAATGTTGCTTATTTCGAAAATTTGCCCTTTTTCTTATCTCTCTCATCTTATTTATATATTTTTTCCATTTTTATTATTTTTCTTCACATTACTAATATTTTTTTAATTAAAAATTTCATCAATTTTTTAATTATTTTTAAAACTCCAAATCTCTTGATAGAAACTTTATATAATTAAAGTCAACAAATTATACTAGAGAAGAATTATAATTTTGAAATTTAAATCAAGTATTTTAAAATATGCTTATTATAATTTTCATATTTTTTAATAAACTTTTATATTAATAAGATCCAACTTTTTTATATATTTACTATTCTTTATAAAATATTTTAATTATATTTTTATTTAAATTAGATATAAAAATATATTATAAAAAATAGTTGAAATATATAGTCCAAACAAATTTATGTTGAAATTCATTTAGATGAGCATAACAATAATTTTTTTCATTATTATAAAATTTATCCTCTTATAACAACAACTATATAATAATAAAAAAATTAAAACTTTAATATTAATTTCAAGCTCCAATAAAAAGTTTGAGGGTAATTTTAAAATCATAAATTTATGCTCCTATAAATAAAAAATTCTTTCCCACAAAGATTCTTTGAGCATACCAAATAAAGCTTGGTGGGTCATAAGAGGTGATTGTTCACTAGTTCAGAAACTTATCGAGTTATGCATCACTGCACTGCTTCAATCACAAGTCCGTAATGTCAAATCAAAACTATATGTGCTTATAACTTTTTCAACGATCAACAGGAACAATATCACAAAGTAAACTGTTAATAATACTATAACGAGCTTCATCGTAATGAAATAAAGAAACTACAAAAAGCAATAGACAACACATCATAGTCCAGTAGAGAGGAAGGAACACAACTCTCCTTGGCCTATTGGTTGAGAGCTTAGGCTTCCAACTAAGAGGTTCAGGGTTCGAGTCTATGTGTATGCGTTGTGTGTGTGAATTTGCCTTAAATGGCCTAAATGTCCCAAAAAAAAAAAAAAAAGTACGTGAGGTCACTGCAAGCTGGCCTTTGGTAAATCCTGGCCAGATTCCGATTTCCCTGAGCCATATTAGGCGTGCTCGTTTTGTTTAGAACGGTTTCTTACTGTTTTTTAAAACAACTTTTTAGTACAAAAGTAAAAAAAATTTAACTAGAAAGCTGCTTTAAAAAGCAGTAAGAAAGCCCTCCCAAACAAAACCTAAGCCAGATATCCCAGGTGCTTTGTAACTTATACGAATTATAAAGATTCATGCACATTCTGGCATATATAACTACAAGTATATGCACTTTGCAATATATTAAAATTTCATTTGGAACGGGGCTCTTACAGCTCGTTAAAGCAGTTTTTCAGCACAAAAATTTTAATTTTTTACTAAAAAGTTGTTTTAAGAAGCAGTAAGAAAGACATCTCAAATGAAGGCTTCATTTGGGGTGGCTTTCTTACTACTAAAAAAACTGTTTTAAAAAAACAATAAATATGTTTTCATAAAGCTCGAACATAGATATTGTTTTGATCTACCATTTGAACAACCTTTGTCGTTTTTTTTATTACGAAATGAGGAAATATAAGAATAGTACATAATACCAAGTTTTCAAGCCTTACATGACTGACATTAATTGAACAATGAAATGTCAAAGCATTAATGCATGACACATTCTTCTTACAAGAACATAGCACAATTAAAACACCTAATGATCAAATAGAGAGGAACAATTAAAACCAACAGATTTACACTACGATGAAAATAATGAACTCAATCAAGCGCAGGTGTAGCCTGGAGGTGGCGTCTTGCCACAACTGACCAGTAGTTCGAAAGCAATGGGAAATAACACTCTGATGTTAAGAAGCTTGAGCTTGATGGTGGTGCAAAGGCAAGCCGCCGCTTCAATGCCGGTGAGACCCTTGATGACCGGGCAGCACTCGTTGACCGCTGGATCTCCGATTTGAATAACATTACTGAGAATATCTAGGCAAGTACCGAGCTTTAAGGTGTCTATTGGGCAAGTTTTTTTGGCAGCTGGTGGTGGAGGGCACCCCGGTGTTCCGGGCGTCGGAGGTTTTGTTATTGGTGGGTTTACGGTGATAGGAGGGAGGGTGATGGGTGGTTTTCCAATGATCGGAGGGAGAGTGATGGGTGGTTTTACGGTGATTGGAGGTACAGTTATGGGTGGTTTTCCAATGATCGGAGGGAGAGTGATGGGTGGTTTTACAGTGATTGGAGGTACTGTTATGGGTGGTTTTCCGATGATCGGAGGAAGAGTGATGGGTGGTTTTCCGATGATCGGAGGGAGAGTGATGGGTGGTTTTCCAATGATCGGAGGAAGAGTGATGGGTGGTTTTACAGTGATTGGAGGTACTGTTATGGGTGGTTTTCCAATGATAGGAGGAAGAGTGATGGGTGGTTTTCCAATGATCGGAGGAAGAGTGATGGGTGGCTTTACAGTGATTGGAGGTACTGTTATGGGTGGTTTTCCGATGACCGGAGGGAGGATGATAGGCCCTTCCTTGGGAGCTGGCTTGGGGGTTGTAGGCGTCGGGCAGTAACCACAAGCAATGGCAACATGGAAGGAGGAAGAGATAGACAGCATAAGAATGAGGAGACAAGCTGAGAGCTTGGTGGAGGAATTCATGGCTTTGGCTAAATACAACTATCTAGCAAGCTAGCTATCTTTTCTCTTCCTTGATAGCTAGCTGTTGCAGAGAGTGAACAGATAGGGTTTCTCTTATAGAAGAAATGGTGCGATAGTATGAGTGGAGTGGAATCTCAGTAGAGAGGAGAAAGACAAAGCACGTGAAGATGCAGCTCTTGCCAGGTTTGCTGGTTGGCGCTTTGCAATCCTTGCATGAATAGTTGTGGTTGTGATAGCTCTATTCCATTGCTCCGTACTGGTTTTGCCAATATATTTTTGCTGGCCATGAAAGCGATTTAGGAAGAGATTAATGGTTAAAACATGTTACATTGCTGGACTTCTCTTGCTTCACTGGAGTAAGAGTAAGGCAAATGGTCACAAAAAAAAAAAATTTTACTACATATGTTACTTAAATTTATTATATTATCCAATATATCAACATTTATTTTGCACTCTTATAAAAATCTATTTTTTATCAAATATCTGAAAATTGTCTTACTCTTAAAAAAGGATAAGTTTAGTAGTAATAGATCTAGTAGATGAATTGTGACTTTGGATGATAGTCATTATTCAGAGTACATGTTTTAGATATATTTGACCTATTGCTCAGAGTGATGGTAAAATAGATGGCGATACTATTAGTAGAATTTAAGTTTGATGGTTGAATTGGAGGAATGCATCGGGATTGTTGTGTGATAGAAACGTTTCCCTCAAACTTAAGGGAAAATTCTATAAGATGGTGGTGAGACCAGCAATGCTTTTATGGTGCAAAATATTGGCCGTTAAAAGAGAAGCATAATACTAAATTAAGTGTTGCAGAGATGAGGATGTTCAGATGGATGAATGGATTTACCCTTAGAGACATGATATGAGATGAGCATATACGTGAAAATGTTGGAAGTAGATTCAGTGGAAGATAAGATTAGAGAGAGGGTCACCTTAGATGGTTTGGTCACATAAAACGACGGCCTTCCAATGATCCAGCAAGGAAAATAGATACATTAGATTTGACTTATATTAAGAAAGGTATAGGTAGACAAAAAGATTTTGTTAGAAAATTTTAGAAATTATCTTTTTTTATAAGATTCATGTAGCGGACCCCTCGTAGTGGTACAAAGGCTTAATGTTGTAGTTTTGCTCTTATAAAAGTGCATTATGTGCACCTAAGTCCTAACATTAATTTTTATTAGAGAATTCATATACATGTTATAAAATTCTTAGGTACATATAAAAAAATTATGCCAAAAATCTTGATATATATAAATTATAATAAAATGAATTTAAAGTCGCTAAAATTATTTTGAAAATAGTGTAATATAAACCCTTCATAAAGCAAATACAGTAATACAGTAACTAATCTTAAAGCAAATACAGTAACTTTTAAGTCCATACTAATCCATTTTTTTTCAATTTTAAATGTTTATATTTACATATATACGAATCAAAACTCTAAATCACATCAAAAATATCCTAAATTTTAAATATTAATTCGTTTGAAATAAAAAAAAATTGATGCGCATATTTTGGTAACATTTGGACACTAAAATGATATAAATAAATATAAAAATTTAATGATTGGATATAAAAATTTTGTGATGTATACATAAATACTCTTTATTTATTTTAGAACATTCATATTTATATCTAAAAAATAAAATAATTAAAAAACTATTGCAAACAGTCCCTTGCGGCATATTCAAAATCGGACAAATAAAGCTTTATTCTTGCACAAAATCCGCTTATGTAAATAGAATAAGAAGTACAACAATGAAAAGAACAACTAATACTAATTATATGAAAAGATGCAAGAAAACATGCACATTATTGTAGAGAGAAAAGGAAAGACTTTAAAAGTTTAATTTAACTTCATTTTTTCTAATTCCATTTTTATCCAAATATTAAATTCACTAAGGGGTTTTTTAGTTGGAGGAAGTGAGTGTAGCGTATTAACTATGCTTTGCTTTCACTTGTTGGTGTTTAGTACGTTGAAATGCAAATCCAAAGTAAAGTCTATTAAATACAATGTATTTCATTCCAGTTCAATTTTGAAGTAAAGTGTTCTCCCCTAATTTTGGGCGAGTATGATTTACACTGCTTGCCCCTTGTTTGAACACCGCTGTCGGTGACCTCTGGCGCTCGCCAACCACCATCGCCCACTGCCGCTACAGCCTCCCAACCGCCGCCAACACCGGCCATCACCATTTAAGACTTTCATTCGTTACTTCCAACCAAATAAAAAAAAAACATTCACATGCATTTACTTTATATTCATCCAAACATATTTAAAGTATTTTTCTTACAAGTGTCAATATTCGACACGACCCGAAAACCCGATTCCAATCCGACTCAAAAAATCCGAGTTAAGGTGAACCTAAACCCGAAACAGGTCTGGTTCGGGTTCAACAAATTGGCCAGTTTCAAAAACCGGGCCAGGTTCAGGTTGACACGAAAACTCAAAATTGACCCTTTTTTTTTTACCCAGAAACCCGTTTTTTACCCCAAAATCATATATTGACACATTTTTTAACCCGAAAACTAGCAATTTTTTATCAGCCCCGGCCGAGTATTTTTTTCATTTTGTATTTTTTATTGCTGAATTAGAAATGACTTGAATGAATTTGTAACCAACTTAATTAAAAGCTTCCATGAAAGGACCCATAACCCATTAGTCAAAAAAGACAGTATCATCTTCGAAGTCGTAAATTCGAGCCAAATACTTTACAATTTATTGCTCATCATTTTTTTAAAAACCTTAAAAAAAGCTTTAAATTTTAATTTATTCTATCATCCTACTTTGAATCATGACCTCATATTCAGGAAAGTTCAGTTGATTTTTATGTGCAAAGTACCCAAAAAAACTATTGAAATTTCTATTTCATAAACCTTAAAAATTACTATGTGCATTTAATGTACCTCTCCAGGCTATTGTTTTAATATTTTAACCCACACAAAAGTACAAAACCTCTTAAGTCCTAATTACTTAGGCAAAATCAAGCCGTACTCAAAGAGATTCAAACGGTCCCATTTAAAAAGATTTTGCGTGAGGATACTGTCAAGATCATATCTGAGTACCGCATCAACAGCTCCATTAAATAATTGTTTCGAAAATACAATGAGGCTCACAGTGAATGTGCTTCGCTGTGCCATAACAATCTAGATTTGTTTGTTTATCGAGATTTCATGAAGCTGTCTTACTTGCTTCAATAGATAAAGAATTTGCATACTTACATTTTGCCAGCAGTCCAGGTTCTTTTTCAAGTGTCTGTGTTAGTTAATTAGCAAGCCTAATGGCAAATGCTAAGTTCAAATGCTGTAATTACCAAATAAAGCTTCGTTTGGAATAGTTTTTTTATTGTTTTCTAAAGCAATTTTTTAATACATAAATATCTTAGACTTTGTTTGTTTGAGTGTTTTTTTGCCTTTTCTGTTTTTGGAAACGGAGGAATTTTTTTTTTGTGTTATTTGGTTCGTCAAATCACGTTCTCAATAACTCTTTTTTTTCATTTTTCTGCAGTTTTGAGAAAGTTTTTTATATATGCTTCTCCGTTACAAAACTTCATTTTCTGAACTAATATTTTTTAAGACTATCTTTTACAAAAGCACAAAAAAAAAAAACAAACGAAGCCTTAAACTAAAAAATTTTGTATTAAAAAACTGCTTTAAAAAGTAGTAAGAAAGCTGTCTCAAATAAAGCCTAAATTAAACTCGTAACTGTTTAGAACGTAGAGCGACTTTGAGAAAGAAAAACTCTATTTACAGTTTGCTAATTCTAATGGTCTATTTAAGACCACTGTAATGTTTTTATAAAGACGATTGTAAAACTATTATGAGATAAATATATTTTTAAAAAAATTACTGCATATATTAGGAATATATATTTTTTAAAAAGTGAAATAATTACTTTCTGAAAGTTACCGTATTTAGCAACTCTGGTAACTTTTTCACTATAGAAATTTTAAAAAGTAACAAGAAAATAATAATCAAATAAAACTATAGTTACAAACCAAAATGTAAAATGTAAAAAAAAAAAAAACTATCCCAAACGGTCCTAAGCCTACAACATAAGAATTGTCTAAAAATAGTCATATATTAAAATTAATAAAATATAATTTTTTGAGAGATCAATGAATAATGAATTTGTCATTATTTTTTAACCTCAATTTGCATACTGCAACTGCTGTTTTTTATCATGATTAATGAAGTTCTGCCTCTAAGATCTGAAGAAATTGTTATGCTACAGCAAGGAACGCTACCTTCCTCCCCCCACCACCTTTGGTTTCTTTATTCCAAGACAGGAAATTAATAATTATCATTCAATGCGAAATCATATCGTAAAATATTGTCAAGATCCTTAAATCAAATCTCTGCTACATTAAATTTATGCTTTAATATTCAATTTTTTTTCAAATAAAAAAGAAAAAGCATATCATATATAATGTATTAACAGCAATTTCAGCATTCCTTTGTGTTCTGTATTATGATAGCTTTACTACATTAATTTATGCTTCTGGGACGTTCTTTTATTTGAATCTTTGTCGTCTCTTAAAAAAATAAAATACTGTGCATTAACTTCTTTTTCATTCCAACCTCTCCGTTTCCTGACATTTAGTTAAGTATCAATTTAATAGAAGTACAGCTAATGATACAAATCTGGATGGGAACATTGGGCTGTTAAGGGAACGACATCGACCCTTTACTCGCCACATTAGCGTCTGATTTTTCAAGAAGATGTTAGTCTGTGTGGAATCTGATTGTGTCGAACAATCGGGTTGTACAGTTATCTTGGATCTAAGTTAAACTGAATTAATTTTTTTTAGTATAATGCCTCGGCGCTATGTATCCGAGCGCCCTGGCGCCATGTACCTAAGCGCCCCAACACTGTTTTTTTAGCGCCCTGGTGCTGCAAAGTTTGCTGTGAGAAACGATAGAGAGCAGAGCATCAAAGCGCTCTAGATTCGGCATTGTAGCGCTGCGGGTTTGAACATCGCAGCATCGTTAGACGGATCAGGATAAGAGGTTTAAGCGCCGCAACGCTTTGAGGCGGACTGAATAGTTTTCTTTCTCGTTTGTTAGAAGGGTGACGTCTCTTAGTGTTATTTACTTGACTTTCTCTAGTGTTTTGAATGTGTGAACAGTGTAAGAGAGAAGAGAAACAAGGAGAGAGCAAGAGATAAGAGAGATTTGCACTTATTTCTCTCAACTTTCATAGTAAATTTCTTGATGTGGTGTAGCTCCGTGTTTTTTTTCCAAATTCAGAGTTTTTCCAAGTTAAATCCTGATATCTTTTTATTCTGTTGCTTTTACTTTCTTATTTGTTTCGTTACATGATTTACTTTCACAGTCGCAACAAATTGTGTAAAAAAAAAGATTTGAAAAGTTGTAAGGAAACCAACTGATTTCATAACAGCCTTTGCTATCTTTATTGAATAGTTAAATGGTAGCAAACATTGGAAGGATGCAGAAAAATAAAATAAAATAAAATTCTAAAATGTGCCGGCCCCACTCTTTCTTCCCATTGTTTCCCAGTTCTCTTTTTCCGCTTTCTTGTTTATTTGTTCTTTTTTAGAGGTCCTCAGCTACTGCCTAGCGGTGGGTATATTTCTCAATCATGAATTTTGAAATTTACAACGATGGCAAAAGAATATAGCCATCAATTGGGTTAACGTATATAAATTTCTTGTGTGATTGAGTTGACCATTTTCTACTTTTCGCTCTCTATAGTTGCATAGGTTTTGTTTTCTTCCCAACATTGTCTACTATGGACTGCAACAGCATTGACAACAACTTTTTATCCTCTAGATGCTCCTTTGTCAATTAGACCAAAAGTTGATTTAAGAACTAGAAAATAGTTGAAGTAAACCCCAAGATTTCATCAAGCAATGGATAGAACTTCTTAAGTACCTCAACTTTTCATCTGTATATAAATTAAAACTGTTCTTAATTAATTTTGCAAAAATGAAATAGCCGTACTTTAAAGGTTTATATCTAAATCAAAACTACATCATCGCTAAGGGTGTGATATTAGCATTAACTATATCATTTTTCCTGGCAAGAAAAGTACAAATTGTAGAGAACAAAAATAAAATTATGGCATTCAAGCTTTAGCAGATGGTTATGCATTCTTTGATTGGATGAAAAGCGATATAAAGCATGTAGAAATATTAGTGTTTTGTTTGATGAAAAAAAAAATACTGAGTAAAATTTTTTGAAGAATTTAATTCAAATTCACTTCATAGTTCATTTTTAATGTATTCAAAACTCAGTCATTTTTTGTTAAATTCCAAATATAAAGTATGTTAACTCTTTTGTCAACACTATTGTTGCTAGCCAACCACCACCATCATTGCCCGTCACCGCCGCCGCAGCTACCGCCGTAGCTACCACACCCACTGGCCACTATTGTCGGTCGCCACCACTGCCCACTGTTGTTGACCATCGAAACTTCAGCCTACTTCCATAGTTCATTTTTAACGTATTCAAAACTAGCTCATTTTTTTGTTAAATTTCAAATATACTGAAAATTAACTTTGTTGTCGACATCACTGACATTGACCAAACACCACCATCACTGCCTATCACCGCAATAGCAGCTACCATGCCCATCGCTGTCAACCACCACCACCACCCACTATTGCCAACCATCGCAACTTGCAGCTTACCTCCATAGTTCACTTTTAATGTATTAAAAAAACTTACTCATTTTTTGTTAAATTTCAAATACGCTACACGTTAACTCCTTTATTGACACCACTGTCGCTAGCCAACAACCACCATCACTACTTTTCATCACCACTGCAGCCTCTACACCCATCGTTATCAGCCGCACCTCCGCCCACTATTGCCCATCGCAACTTGTAGCCTACCTCCTCCCCCACCCCCTCTCCCTCGTCGATGACCGACCACCACCATCATTGAGCTTCAAACTTTTTTTTTTCCTTATAAGTAATCTCCTGTATTTATTTGAGACTAATCTAAACGACTCCAAACATTTCAAATACATTGCATTTTACTCTACATTCCTTTTTCCAACAAATCAATCAACCCCTTGGTGACGTTCACATAAATATGAACTGCTTAGATTTCTTACAAACATATAAAAATGAACTACTTAAATTTCCTAGAAACACGAATAGAAAATCAATCATTTGCTTAATGGACCCTATTTCTTCACTACAATTAGCTGTGTTTTCCCTTTCTTAGTTTTAGGCTCTCTAGATAGTTGTAAATAGAATGAGATAATGCCCCTAATTAATTTTAAACTCAAAAGATAGCCATCCATGACTTTGGAACCCTATAAACCCTCATAGTTGATTTATTTGTTTGCTTAATTAAGGACTCCAATTACAGAACGACATCCCATGTTACACATGATGGAAACTTTCTTTTACCACAACTCAAGTGCATATGCAAATCTGAAAATATAATAATAAAGCAAAAAGGAAAAATAATAGATAAAAGTAAATTTTGATGCACTAAAAGAAGTATACATTATAGTACTTCAGAGAAGAAGAAATAAAAGATTGCAAGCTAAATGTTATGTTAAAAACAATTACAATAGAAAACTTATAAGGAGGACATGGCAATAAAAGGTAGATGAGGAAACAAATTACCATATAGAAATGGACAATCAATAATTTCACGTGAAAACAAATTGCCAGCAGGATGCCTTAAGGTCGACACTTCTTTTTCTTCCTAACGAAATGGCAAAGAAAAGTTAAGATGCGTTGACTGCCGCAGAAGGCCAAGAAATTTATGTAAATGATGCATAAATTTTTCATTAAGAACCTCTACTTTAGTATGCATGAAATTAATTACTTAAGCTGGGCATATAGAGATCGACCTGCAGGAGCGTGGAACCCACCATGTGAGGTAGCAAAGTGGACATACACCATAAAATTTGATATGTAGATAGAAAAGATATTCCAGATTAGGCATCAGAAGCAGAAGTTGAGTTAGTCCCCACAAAGAGGTCACTTTCTCAAAAGCTGGCAACTGTTTGGATGTTTCTAGCCGTGAACTCGCATCTGATAGTCATCAGCTTCACAAATCTTTTCTATCCCATAGGCGGGCTGCTTGAATTCCAGTTCAACAACAATTGGTCCAGCTACAGAAGCTAATTACTCAACATTTTCATCAGTTATAGCTTTTCTTCTGTGGATAGGAAGAAAAGTTAAGCATGTTAATAGAAAGGAACAAAAATGAGGAAGGCCAATGGAAAAAGGGAGAAAAATGAAGCCTATAGCTAATCAATAAAAATCAAAAATCCTCTGTACATACATTTAAAGTTCATAATAACTTACAAAAAAGAAGGAATATTTGTAAGTGTTATTTTTGCAATTCAAGTATTTAGTTGATAATCATAATGTCAAAGAAACTTCATTGGAAAATTGAAAAACGATATTTCACTAGCCTATCTTTTCCACTATTTTGAGCAAAAAAAACAGTTTAATTCAAAGAATAATTGCAGGTCTTGCAGTATGATTGTTAGAATAACAAAAATGGTTATCAGCAATGATAGAAGGAAATCCAAGCAATATAGTTTGATACATGATAGGTTCCTTCTAGCTTTTTCTCAAAGCTATTTATTTGAAAAGAAAATAATAATGAAAGTGAGCTAAAGATCAAGAAAGCAATTTGTGACACTCATCCCATGAAAGAAGCTGTTAACAATGAACCTCACTACAACTTTCTTAGTTCGAAGGTAAGCTATCAAAAAAGCTTGTTATTTGTTTTTAGATCAATAATTAGTTAAATTTAATATGTTTTTACAACTTTGTTTACTTTCATGTATTCATGCGTAAATATATAGATTATGTGTACTTATATATGTATATTTGTATGAAGAAATGCATACACGAGCGTATGAAGAAATGCATATAAATGTGTGATGGGATGTTTTGTTCTAGAATTTATATAACATATTCAAATAATTTTTTTTTTACAAATAACTCGTGCTTAGCTTAATAAACAAACATGGTAAACATAAATAAAATATTTTAACTCATTTACTTACTAAGCCGAGCTGAATAACAGATGAGAGTTGAGCTTACTTGAGCTCGGCTTGTTTACACTCCTTAGAAGAGATTGAATCCAAGCTGCTTTATGTGATCGTGTAGCAGCAAAAAAGTACACTCCATCAATACCATACAGACTAATAGAGGGAAAAACGAAAGGACAGTCACTTTGTTGTATTATCACTTCTGAAATTCAACATGAGATCAATCTTCCTCGATGCACTTTCACTTCATTACAGAAAAATGATGTATAAGGTCTTCCATCAGCCAAAGCATCACGATGGAAAGTTCTGTGGTTAGCTTCATGATGTGCAAATTGAGGTTGGTCAGAATATGTCAACATTTTCATACTTGAACCCATCCTAATTATATCTGCATATCCGCTGTTTCAACTTACTTCATGACATTTTACCAGATATTTTCAGCTTCTTTGGCTAAATAATCCTCTACAAAAGTGACGTTGTTTCATTATGAAGACTTGTTATCCCACCCCTGTTTTATAAATTGCCCTGGGCTGCAACACTCAAGGAATTCCAAACATCTTCTTGGCATAAGTGGCTTGCAATAATTTTGATAAGGGAATAGAGTGTTGGAATGAAAAAAGCTTTTGGAACAAGAGAAGGCTAAAGAGAAGAAAGAAGCTATAAATTTTATTTATCACTTTTTGCTTGATACAAACTCAAAGCACCACTACTATTTATACTAGTAATACACTGTTAGGATTGTGTCATCATATTTCAATCTAATGGTTACAAATGACTCTCTAGAGTATTTTCATATCTTCTGTCATAAATGACATTAAATGACTATTCTAAACTTTTCTAATAATTACTCCATAAAAGATTTCTAAAGTCTTCTTCAATAGATTACTCTAGATTATGAACTTCAAACAAAAGCCCAAATAACAATGGGCCAAATTAAGTTTAATTTCCAACATCCTCCTTAAATTTAATTTTGGAACTCCAAGCAAATTGCTCATCTTGATATAGTCTTCATACTTGAGCGGATTGTTGAAGATGTCAACAATTTGGTCTTGTGACTTCACATATTCCGCTTGCACTCCTTCATTATAATGGATTCTCTGATATAGTGATAGCGTGTATTAATGGGTTTGCTTCTATCATGAAAAACTGGATTTTTGGCTAATGCTATTACAGACTTATTATCAACATGAATCTTCGTTGCATTTTATTGAGGTAAGTTTAATTCTTTTAACAATTTTCGAAGCCAAATTGCATGACAAACACAAGATGTTGCAGCTACGTACTCTACTTCGCAAGTAGATAGAAGAACAATTGGTTGTTTATTTGACATCCAGGTGAAAGTTGTATCTCCCATGAAGAACACATAACCAGTGGTGTTCTTACTATCATCCATGTCGTCAGCCCAATCACTGTCGCTATATCCTACAAGTCTAAAATCATTAGACGTGGAGTAGAGTAAGCCAAAGTGAAATTTACCTTTGATATAGCGTAGGATTTTTTTAGTAGTCTTTAAGTGGCTGGTAGTTGGAGTCTCCATATAGCGACTGACAAGTCCGACAGCATAGAGAATATCAGGCATTGCTCATGTTAAGTAGTGCAAACTCCCAACTAGGCTCTTGAAAAATGTAGAATCGACACTTTCTCATTCATCGTGATTTGATAGCTTAACTCCACATTCAATAGGAGTATTTATAGGTTTGCAATTATCCATCTTGAACTTCTTCAGCATCTCCTTTGCATAGCTTTCTTGTGAGATAAATATTCTATCTTCCATTTGATGGACTTCAATGCCCAAGTAATAGGCCATCAGCCCAATATCAGTCATCATGAATTCCTTAGTCATTGCTTGTTTGAATTCTTGAAATACTATTTGATTATTTCCGGTGAAGATCAAATCATCAACGTTTAAACTAACGATTAAGACATCATTATTCTTTTTTCTTTATGTAAAGAACATGTTCATAAGGACATTTTATAAAATATTTATCATGTAAGTACTTATCTATCCGACTATTCTATGCTCTTGATGCTTGTTTCAACCTATTTAGAGACTTTTTTAATTTTAAAATTTTATCTTCTTGACTTTCAACTTCGTATCCTGGTGGTTGTTGAATATATACTTGTTTTTCAAGAAGGATGATTTTCCATTTGATGTATCTTCCATTTATTTTGAGCTGCCAAGGTGATGATTAGGCTAATTGTTTCTTAAGTAAGCAACATGAGCAAATACCTCATCATAAAGAAAAAAAGAAATTTTCACGGGTTAAGAAATAGAAATTTCACCTCGAGTTTCCCTCACTCTCACTCTTGAGGGTTGTTTTAGCGGAAGAGTACTTTCAACAAACTTAATGACGCCAATAAAAGACATAGGACGCCTGCAGTATTGCCCAACGAAAACTTAATCGAAAAGACAGAAGTCGGTGGAAGTTGAAGAACTTGGCACTGTCCGGAGGTTTGATACTCGTCAATGGCTGTCGCCAAAGTAAAGAGGATCCGGTCGACGTAGTTGTCAACGGTGTGGTCGATCTCCAAGTTGAGGTCGAAGAAAGATGATCTCAACACATCACTACTCTTCCTTGACAATCGTATATGAATCCATAGTCTTGTTTAGGATCGGCCATTCATGGGGAACGTAGGCCGAGTGGTGGTGTATCTTCCTTTTTGGACGGTAGATGAAGCAAGGGAGAAGAGAGGTAATGAAGGAGATAGAGGCTTGGAGGGTTTCGGCCAAGGCTAGGAGAGGCTCCTCTAATTTTAGATTTAGGGTTATGGAAGGGAGAGGGAAAATAACTTCAAAATATGGAAAATAACTTCAAAATTTGAAATTTAATTTAGATTTTTTGGTTGAATTTGAATAGGGGAATTTGAAATTTGAATTCAGGGGAAAAGAAGGAGGGAAGGGGTGAGTATTATCCCCTAATTTAGGGTTGTAATTGGGGAAAGAAATAAAGGAGAGATGGGGAGAGAGGGGGCTAGCCAAAGGAGGGGAGGGATAAACGTCCACATTCAATGTGTGTGGATCCTTGCATTAATTGTTGATTGGGGAATCAAATCTAAATTAATTTCAGATTTGTGGTAATTGGGAAACTTCCTAAAATATGAAATATTAATTAGGAAAAATTTTGAAATTCAAATTTATTTGAGTTTCAATTAGGGGACTTTCCAAATTAGCAATGTGCTAATTTAGGAAAGTAGTAAAGCCTAATTTGAAATTGGAATCAAGGGCATTGGGAGGAGGTTGGTTGGCGGCAAAGGGTGAAGGGGCCTTGGTGGGTTGGCCGGCGGCTATGGAAGTGGGAAAAGGATTAGGGCCGACGGTTTGGGTATAGAGGGGAGGTGGCCGGTGGTGTGGGAGGAGGAGGGAGTGGTGAACGACGGTTTGGGAGAAAGGGAATGTATTCGGCGGCTTGGTGAGAAAAAGGGTGGGGAAGGGGAGACAGAGAGCCCGGACTCTTCCGACGGCTGTCGGGTATTGCTTTCGCCCTCTATCAGGGTTCTCTCTTCTCTTAAGAGATCACAAAGAAATGAAGAACAAGAGCTGAAATTTCATTCATCAATCATCATCCTATTACAAAGCTAGGGTCTTCATATATAGGCCTCAAGGAACAAAAGACACAAAGACGAACTGGCCTATAAGCTACAACATCAACAAATCCCTCTCAGGGGTACAATGGTAAAACCAGAACATAAATAAAATAAAAGACATAAATGCATCACAAATAAAGACTCCTAATCGTAGCCGTTGATCTACGATGTATCATCTGATAGACGAGCCAGAATCTCTTGCTGATGTCCTCATCGCTTACCCTTCCCGGGGCCTGAAAATAAAGCAAAAGCAGGAATGAGCTAACACAGCTCAGCATGCTATCGTAGCCTAAAACAGAAATCAGTAACCAAAACCAAAAGAATTGAGATAATTGTGATGAATTATAATTATATAAATACTAAAATGAATAGAATTATAAACAAATACTTCATAACAGAATCTCACCTCGGTAGCCCATTGGCTCCGACATAACAACACTTAGATAACAAAATCTCACCGGCATAATAGAATCCCATCTCAGTTGCCCACTGGCGCCGGCATAATAGAATCCCACCTCGACAACCCACTGGTGTTGGCATAATAAAATCCAACCTCAATCGCCAACTA